TTTTCAATGTTCAAAATAAAAAAAAAAATTTTTTTTTAATGTAAAAAGGCAATTAAGGGGAGAGTATTTAAAACCGTTATATACTATGAAAAATGGAAAAACAATTAATTCATTAATAATTTTTTAAATAAAGCTCGAAATTTTTAGAAACTAAAAATTTTAACTTTTGTCGCAATTTTCTATTATTTTTCATTGCAGATTTTTTAATACACTTTTTTCATGATTCTGAACAATCCAATCCAACTTTTTTTCATGTTTCGTAGTGAAATATGATTTCAGGTTCTAAAAAAATTTTTTTAAAAATTGTTACCCTTAACAAAACCAATTAGAGTTTGGTTTGATTTTACCAATTATTTCTTAAAAATTCAACTTCTTCCATAATAATTTTTATTATTTTTTATCAGCAATTTTTTTATAGGCGTTTTTCATGATTATGAACAATCAATCGTATGGATTTTTAAACATTTTAATATTTTCAAAAAATAAAATTTTTAAAATGGTCAAAAAATTTTTTTTTTTTAATTTTAATAATTCACAATAATTTTAAATTCCAAATAATGACAGAAAAAAAATTGACACCTCTTAACAACATTAATTTTGATGATTTGAAATTACACCTGTATCTCCCTTTAAAGAAAAATTATAAATAATTAAAATAACAAAAGTAAAAACATCGAATGCAAAAATAATAATTTTTATGTTTTATTCAATGTAACATTTTTTTGAAAAGTTTTGTATATAGTTTTGATATCGACTCTAAAATATGAATTTGATTGAAAAGGAAGATATCGTTGAAATTAGAGAAAAAAGTGGTTAGACAAAAGAAATTTTTAGTTTTTAGAGAAAAATAACTTTAATAAAAATTAATTTTCTTAAAAAAATCCCAAAAAATATTTTGAGAGAAAATAAAAAAGTTGAGATAAATATATAATTAAATAATTTTTTTGATTTTTACAATTCTAAAGATCTCAAAAAATATTTAATTAAACTTTTTTTCGAAAATAAGATTGAAAACCAAAAATTAATATAACTAAAAACTCAAAAAGATTTTTAAAAAAATATTTTTCAAGATTTTATTGAGAAACAGTGAAATTATTATAAAATAATAGTCGAAGAGAAATATTTATAAAGTAGAAGAATTAATTTTGGAAAATTGACTAACTTAATATGTATATATATATATTTATAAAAATTTAACGAGTAGAGAAAGTGTAAGAAAAATAAGGAAGTGACTTTCAATTCTTTAAAAGGGATATTATTCTCGTAACATTTTTCACATGTATTATAATCTTTTGTTAGTCGATGATATTAGACTTGCTAATTTTGAAAATCGATTCTAAACATTTTCTTCCAATATATCTACTTTCTCAGACTCTCTAAATTTTTGTTTATTCACCACTCTTCGTCCTGTAAACAAATGCCTCGACAATTTTATTCAGGAATCAAATTATTCTTTAAAAACACACAATTAAAATAATTTATTATACTGAAAGAGAAGAAAAAAATTATGAAAATAGAGAATTAATTATTTTATTTTACAATTAATAATGATCAAAATAAATAAGGAGCAATAAGAATATTTAAAATATAATTTTTTTTTTTAATTGAGAAGTTAAAAAAAATATATCCAGCGAATAATCGTGAAAAAACAAAAATTACAATGGAATTAGAATGGAATACAGTTTCTCTATATATGTACTATTGTGTCTGAAACGACTAAAGTTTTAACAAAATAAACTGATGGTCTTTTGTTAAATACGATCGAGTCGCAAAAATGTTGGGACGTGACACAGCTGTACTCTCAAATCTCAAACTTTGCCAAACTACTTTGAAAACTTTCTGGAGGACAAAGCTTCCATTCGATCTTGCTAGTAAATCCAGCTTTTCCTTATTTATTTTCACGTTACTACTGGCAAGTGCGATATTTATTGTATACGGAGAATCTAATATTGATTATTATTATTTTTTTTTTTTCTTTTTGAAATAAATATAATTAGTTTTTATACAATATTGATGAGAAAAATATTCTCAAAAAAAAAAAAAAAAAAAAGTGCACGCTTTATAATGTTAATCTCATAAATAAACGTGTCAGTATATCCGATGACTGGCAGTAGATATTTTTTAAGCATTTGCACATGAATAATTTTGTACCACTTGTCCTGATTGAACAAGAGAAAGAGGGAAATATTGAATTTTCATTTTAATGATAATAATTAACGAGAATTTTTTTTTTAATTTCATTTTATTTGAGAAAACTATTATTTCTTTAAATTTAGAATTTAAAATGTAGAATTAGATTTTATATTCTAGATTTAGAATTTGCATTGAAAAATTAGAATTTCAATTCAATAATTAAAATTTGCTTTCCAAATACGTAGATTTTATAATCTAGAATTAAAAATTTTACTTTCTAAAAGTAGAATTTTCATTCTGGAATTAGAATTTAGATTCTAGAATTAGACCTTGAATTCTGGACTTGAATTTTAGATTCTAGAGTTAAAATTTATATTTTACAATTTGAATTTAGATTTTAGAATTTTAATTTAGATTCTGGAATTAAAATTTGCTTTCTAAAAGTAGAATTTTCATTTTAGAATTAGAATTTAGATTCTACAGTTAAAATTTGCTTTCAAAACATAAAATATTTATATTGCAGAATTAGAATTTGCATTTTAAAACTAAAATTTTTATTCTAGAATTAGAATAAAAATAATTCTAAAATAAAAATTTGCTTTCCAAACGTAGATTTTATATTCTACAATTATAATTTGTAGATTCTAGAATTAGGAATGTTTTCTACAAGTAAAATTTATATTCTAGAATTAGAATTTAGATTCTAGAATTAAAATTTGTTTTCTAAAAGTAGAATTTTTATTTTAGAATTAGAATTTTTAGATTTTGGAATTAGACCTTAAATTCTGGATTTAAAATTTAAATTAAAAAATTATAATTTAGATTCTAGAAATCGAATTCATATTTTACAATTTGAATTTGGATTCTTGAATTAAAATTTGCTTTGTAAACGCAAAGTTTTAGTTTTAGAATTGGAATTTAGATTCTAGAAATAAAATTTATTTTCTAAAAGTAGAATTTTTATTCTCGAATTACAATTTATATAGATTCTTGAATTAGATCAAAATTCTAAATTTGAAATTTAGATTCTAAAATTCTAATTTAGGCTCTAGAATAAGAATTTATATTCTAGAATTAGAATTCATATTTTACAATTTGAATTTTGAATCCAGATTTAAAATTTGCTTTCCAAAAGTAGATTCTAAATTCTGTTATTACAATTTATTGATTCTAGAATTAGACGTGAGATTGTGAATTTGAAATTTTTATTCTGGAATTGTAATTTAAATTCTAGAATTAGACATTACCATTAGTTTCTAGTATTGAAATTGTCATTCTTGAATTGAAATTTAGATTCAAAAATTAAAATTTTCTTTCTAAAATCAAAATTTATATTCTATAAAATAAGAATTTAATTAAAAATTTTTTTAAAAATTTTTCTGTAAGTTTTAAAGAGTAATAAAATATAAAAAAAATTCAAAGGCAAATAAAATTTAAAAATATTGAAATTATAAAGAAAAAAAATTAATTAATTACAAAAATACAAATTTAATAATATTAAAATGTAAATAAATTAACAAGAGTTGTAAAATTTCACTTTTACAGCTTCTTTAATATGAGAAAAACTTCGATTATTATTTTTTTTTCTCATTGAAATGTATTGTTTAATCGGGACAAGTGAAAGTAGTAAAAAGAATCTGGAGGACTCGGTGATTAAGAATTATTAAGGAACGATAGTGAGTGATATATATGACTTTGACTGTGATATGTGATTAAATTTTAAAGTATAAAATGATTGTGATTAAATTAAAAAGAAACAAAAAGTATTTGCGCATAAAAATTGAAAGTATAATTAGAAATATTAAAGGCATGAAACAAAAAAATAAGAAGGAGATGGACGATTGCTTCGACGTCTTTCCAGGTGTAGGCCAGTTTTCTTGTCTTTCATTGAGAGCTTTTATTACTTATATGTATTATTTTATATTATATTTGTATTTTTATTAAATTACTTGCACTCGCACACAGTATTATATTACGCTTACCGTTACTAAAGCAAATAGAAAATTATTATCGAGATTTTAAATTATTTTCGTACAATTTTTTTTTTATCGAATGTATAATATTTAATTGATAATAATTATTTAATTATCAAAGGAAAATCGTTATTGAAGCAAGATTAAAAAAGTACACAACGTTTATAATCAAAGATTAAAAAAAAAAATATATTTTTTTTAAGATGAAAAATTATAAAAAAAAATTTTTTGTATAATTTTTGAATAATTTTTGTATATAATATAAAAAAAAATGTTTTTAATATTTTTTTGATCAATATTGCAAGAAATATCTTTAAAATTATTCATAGAATTTTTTCAAAAAAATTATTCAAAAAAAAAACAAATATTTCTTCACAAATCAATGATTGAATAATCGTTGTGAATTTCGTGGATAAAAAATAAAATAGAAAAATAGAAAAAAAAGTAGTGAATTAAATTTATGTTAGTTATCTTATTTTACAAAAATTTGAATTAAAATTAATAATCGATTAAAGCTAAAAGAAAAAAATAGTACGAAAATTTCATTAAAAAAAAAAAACGATAATACTAATAATTGTCTAGGTAGAATTTGTTTTTTAGTGAGGGTTTAATATCTATAATATATATTTTATAAGAATTTTTATACATTTTTTTGTACTTTTGTACTTGCTGCTTTTATTCACTCAATAATATATATATATATGAAAATTCTGAATACTTTATGAAATATTTTTTAATTGAAGAAAAACAATAATCCTTTTCCTCGTTTAATTTTTGCACCAATCCTTTGAAAAAAAAGTTTTTCAATCGAATTTTCTATTTGTACTTAAATATATATATATTTATATCTTGTATAAAAGGAAATGAGGGATTTATTTTCTAAAATGATTTCAGTCGAAACTCAACTGCGAAGTTCTCGAGGACAGTCTTGCTTTTGAAGTTCGATGGGCCGTTGCTGGGGACAGTATAGTCATTCAACTTGTCGGCAAGCTGGGTAAGTTTTGAAATCAACTTTAAGAAAGGTCGATATCGAGTTAGTTCGATTGACCTCTCGAAACTTGACGAATTCAACTTTTAACAGGAACATGACATTTAGTTAATATAATTAGTTCTAATAAATGGCAAATCAAATAAAAGAAAAAAAAGTATAATAATAATAATAATAACAATTAAAGAAAATAGAAAATTTTATGAATCACTCCGAGTCAAGAGTGATGATAATTATTGAATTCGGAGTGATTGATAAAATTTTCTACTATCTTTAGTGATAAATTCAAAAAAAAATAATTATTATTATTGGTGTCGAAACGTTATGGAAAAAATATAAATTTCCGCAATAAACAATTTTATTCAGAAGTACCTGAATTTCATTTGAATAATATTTATGTAATGAATTATTTTATTACATCATTATTATTCCTGTTGAAAGTAGGCAAATAAAAATTTTTTTAATTCAAAAAAAAAATCGGTTACTTGACTATTAATTATCAAATAAATATTTATATTTTATATTAAATAATTATTTATCTCGTCAATTAAATGGTATTTTTTTCAAATACAAAAATTATTAATTCAAATAAAAATTATTTTATTCAAGTAAATATTTATTTGATTATAGTTAAGAAACCGATTATCAAAAGTAACGGAAAAATATATAAAGTATATATATATATATATATATATATATGGGATCCCAGGTGAAGTAATCAAGGTAAAAAAAAATTTTGTTCAAAAAAAAAATGAAACTTAAAAATAAATTTGCCTTTTTCGGGGTAAAAGGTACGATTTTTTAAAAAAATCGAAAGCTGAGCTTTTTTTTGAGCATTTTTTGCTATTTTTGATCATTTTTTACTATTCTTAAAATTCAAACATTTTTTAACTCATTTTTTCAACTATATATTTTTATAGAAAAAACCTCATCTTTCGATTTAAAAAAAAAAACAACAAAAAATCGTACCTTTCACCCTGAAAAAGTCAAATTTATTTTTGAGTTTCATTTTTTGGGCAAAAAATTTTTTTTTGGAAAAATCCATACATATTATCAATCGAAAGAGCATCAAAACAGCTTTCGAAAGTGATATTAATAGAAAAAAAATTTATTATAAGATTTACGAGAAAAAAATAATTATAAGAAAAAAGCCATTTTTTCCCATTTGATCACTTCACATGAAATCCCCCATATGTAAATCTCTGTCAACTTTTGCTTCGAAAATAGAAAAAATTACTTGTGAAATAGTAAAGTTTGTTCAAGAAATATATAGTAAAAATTACTATATCCAGAGCAAAAGTTGCCAGAAATGCTTCTAAATTCCGTATTTATTTATTATAAATTCTTTTCTTATTTCTGAAAGAAGTAAAAAATTTTATTTTAGAATTAGAATTTACTTTATAGAATTAGAATTTGCTTTCTTCACTGAAAAAATTTAATTTATTCAAATACTCGATTACTAGACTATTATCAAATATAAATATTTACTTAAATCAAATAAATTAATTTTTTTATTAAATAAATTGTATTTGAACCAATAATTTCTGTATTTGAAACAAATACCATTTAATTGACTCAAATAATAATTATTCAATTCAAATAAATATTTATAATTGATAATAGTGAAGTAATCGAGTATTTGAATCAAATAAATTTTTTTTTTTTCAGTGTAAAAGTAAAATTTTTATTTTAGAGTTAGAATTTAAATTCTAGAATTAGAATTTGTTTTATAAAAGTTGAATTTTTATTTTACAATTTGAATTTAGATTTTAAAAATTTTTATTTAAATTCTAAAATTAAAATTTGCTTTCTACACCTTGATTTTATATTCTATAATTGAAATTTGCTTTTTAAAAGTAACATTTTTATTTTGGAATTAGAATTTAGATTATAAAATTATAATTTAGATTCTAGAATTAGAATTCATATTTTACAATATGAGTTTTGATTCTAGAATAAAAATTTGTTTTCTAAACGTACATTTTTTTCTTCGTGTTCAAATAATTCTTTTTTTCAGTATAATAATTCAATCATCACTAAATGATTTCATAAAAGAATTAATTATTATTCTTATTCATAAAAGAAGTTATTTTATTTCAAAAGTGTTTAAATCGCATTTGAAATGATTAAACAATTGTCAATTTTATTTTTTTTGTATCAGAAAAGGTCAGGAGAAAAAATTCATTGTCAGGGACATACGTATATATACATTTATAGTGTTGAAAGGAATCGACGATCATGATAAAGAAAAAAGTAAAATTTTATATGAAATCCGTTTAGATATGTACATATATAAAGGTCAGAGCTACTTTCAATAGAATGTGAAGGTGACTTGGCTTAAACGATATATAAGTATTTTGTCTTGAATTTATCTCGATCACCAAACAAGTTTCATTTTCACTTTGACCGCCGCGCACAAGTTCTGAGGCGCGGGCATTATGAAATGTGCAAGGAGAAAGGCATATTCTCAGATATAATGTAAGACACTCCACCTTTGTTACAGTGTTGCACATACACACACACATCTACTTTCCAAAATAAAACTCGTTTATATTTATATCGGCGGATTATAAAGATTTCTGCGCTTTCCCTCAATAAATGAACTTCTAAATTTATATAGCTCATAACATAATTAGAACGGCCGTGAAAATGCTTATTAAATTGCATTCTTGCAAATCTTGACACACTTTCATCTCATGCCGCGCAAAGATTCCAAGTTCATTCTTAATTTGTTTCTTTTTTTTTTTTTTTGTTTGTTTTTTTTTTTTAATTGATTATTGAAAGTTGTTATATTATTATTGGAAATTTAGAAATTTCGAGCTAGTTTTAAATTTTATTTTAAAGACTACCATCTACAGGGGTAATTATACTCATAAAAACTCTTTTTTTTTATTCAATTCAGAATTTAAAAACTGAATTTTTATTTTTTCGAATTATTATTCAACAGAAGTTCCATTTAAACGAATTTTTATATTGTTACTTAAACAAATTTTCAGTTTACATAATTTTTATTTCATCAAATTTGAATTTAAATAGAATTATTATTTGCTCGAATTTTCATTTTACGTAAAATTTTTATTTCATGGAATTTGAATTTAAGAGAATTATAATTGGGTTAATTTTAAAATTTACGCACAAATTTTTTAATTAACGAAAGAAAAAAATTAATGTCTATGATGATTTATCTTTGGAAATTAAAACGAATTTTAAAATTAATACAATTTTTTTTTTTTTGGTCTGATTACAGAGGATGGACAGTACATGTCATTTGGTCTGTCTGGAGAATTAGAAAAAAGTGTAATGATTGGAGCTGATGTTGTGGTTGCCTGGGTGGATAAACAAACTCTTCAAGGTTATGCAATTGATTACTTCTTAGACGCCAAATCTCAATGTTCTGGAGGACGTGGAAGTTGTCCAGACACTCGAATTCAAGTAAGAATCCCGATTCAGCATAGAACTTTTTCAATCAAACTTTAAATATACAACCGACTTTCAATAAATTACTCTCTAAATTTGAGTCAATATAAATAAATCCCCTCATTCGTAAAATCAGTGTAATTTTCCTCTTAAATTTAAATTCAAAAAAGTAAAATGTCGTCTAAAAAATAATTAATCATTCATTTTTAAAAAAAATAAATAGATAGAATATATATATAAAAAAAAATGGTGAATGAAATTTTGAACATAAAAATGAAATGATCTCATTCACATTTCAGGATGACACAAATTCAGTGAGACTTTTGAATGCAGCGATGGTGAATGGCTATAGTATTGTAACGTATCAAAGACCCTTGAAGGCCAACGATGAATTAGATCGTCAAATTAAGACTAATGGATCTCAAGCGATCATCTGGGCAGTGGGTCCACTCAATGAGAGAAATGAGGTCAGCTTTCATAGCGATTACTTGAAAACTGATCGATTCATCGAATTTGGAAGACCACCTGTCTGGAATTGTCCCATGCCCGATCAGGAACCATCTCGAACATACGATGAAGATATTGATAAAAGCTCTTCGAATCAGGTGATCGTCATCATTCATCTTTATTAAAAAAAAAAAAAAAAAATTCTTACAGATTTTATTTCTGAATACCTTTCAAAAATTTACTTTCAATGAAAGCGAACATTGCAAAAAAAATTTGCTCCAAATTGGATCTGAATTTTCTTTTAATGCATTTTTGTAAACAGATTTATTTAAAAAAAAGAAGTTTTATGTGCAAGTAACATTTTTTGCATAAAACATGAATATTTACGAGAACTCTAAATCTAAATACACTGAAAAAATTAATAAATACTGTAAAAAATCGATTTTCGATAATTGAATTTTTTGGGCATATTAATAAATTCCTTCGATTTAAAAAATCAAATTAAAAACATAAATTTTTTGATAAATAACAGAAGTTTTAAAAAAATTGTAAAATTCTATAAAATGAAATTTCAGAAGTGAAAAAAAAAGAAATTCTAGTGAAAATGAAAAAAAAGTAATATTTAAAAAAATTTAATTATTATTATTATCTGTAGTAGTAGAATTTTTTCTTTTCATAATGTAAAATTTATTTATTATATATATACATAATCCATATTTTTGTAAAATTATGTTTTTGATTTTTGACAGAAAGATAGATTTTACTTTTACCTATTTTCAAAAATGGAAAAAATAATTTTTATTTTCATTATTACTTGACTGAAGATTAATTAAAAGAAGAAATGTATTTCATTTTGTTTGAAGAAGGAATTTTTTTTAATTATAAAACTTATATTATTCAGGAACTCACAGCAACCACAAGAAGACCACGACCGCCTGCAACTCCAGCTCCAGCGCCAAAAACAGACGCATGGTTGATTCCTGATATCCAGTGCTACGAACCGGAAGACGGTGTCTTCTATGCTCAAATGGGCCCCACTGGCGGAAAACACGGTTACCCAGCAATCACAGGTACACGTAAATTTAAAAATTTAATTAATATTATATTTTTTCGAAAATAGGATTTTTTTATTCAATTTTTTTTTTGAATTCGCTTTTACTTTCATTTTGAAATATTTATCTCTATTTTATCAATCTACAGGACACGTTGGATGGGGAATATCGTGGTACATCAATGGACTTTTAATTCCCGTGATTCATGTGGTTAGAGGTAAAAAATATAATTTCGTTGTTGAAGGAGGTCAAGATCCAAATATACCCGCTCGCTATCATCCATTCTACATCACTGATGATCCAGTCGGTGGTTATTTACACAAAACACCAGAGGAAAGAGCGGTAGGCTATAATTTTCACACTATCAATTTCGTGAAACTTGACAAAATTGTGTGAGATTTTCACTATTTTCTCTTTATTTTTGATTTTTATTGTTTCACATGTTTAGAAAGTGAAAATCTTCGCTGGTGTTCGACGACAAAGAGGAACAGTTAGGCCAACAGGAGTAGGTCGACTCTGCAATTGGGTTCCCGATCAAAATTCACCACTAGCCGATGATTTTGCTTCATTTGGCGCCTATCAACGAACTCTAGCGCTTGAATGTGATTCAGGTGAACCTGGAATTGTACAATGGACACCTGACGAAAATACACCTGACACTGTTTACTATCAGGTTTGTAGTTTCATGGAAAAGTTTTTTATTCGATTTTGTAAATAATAAACAGACACAAATTTTCTGTCGAAACGTTGCTGTTACATTAGCAGGGTTGACACAAAATTTTCATACTAATTTTCTGACTTCCAGACAATATATTCTTTTTTTTTTGACTTGTGGCAAATCAAGAAATTATAAAAAAAAAATATTTAAGTTAACAATTTTATAATTTCCGTATTAAATAAAAATTGATTTCTAATAGTTAATCATAAACGTTGCATACTTCAGCATTGTAAAAATTTGAAATTTATCAATGATTTTCTTATAGTGCTTCACTCATCGCTATCTGGGTTGGAAGATCCAAGTGCACGACTCATGCGACACAAATGCAGCGGCAGCAGCGAGCGAGATTCGAGAAACATTCGCCGATCCTGATGAAGCTGAGCCGGAAATGGATGGCGATCTCAATAGTGGTGCCAGTATTCGAGTCACGAGCAAGGTAACACCAGCGCCAGAATTCTTCAAAGAACATCAAGAATACGATGGTCAAGCGTATGGTCATCGTCATTATACGCATCATTCAGCGACTAACCCAAGCAATTTAGGTTCACACATCAAGCAACTAACACGAACGCATGTGCCCTATGATCATCGTGATAATTACGAGCGCTTCCAGTTACCATCATCATCATCATCATCATCATATGCGAATCATGGCCTAAAATCAACGTACACTCCTTCCAATCTTATGAATATGCCTCATTCAAAAGACATTCGTCATTCCTTTACTTATTCACATTTAAAAGATGAACCCTTTCCCCCACCATCGGAACCAATAATTCCACCTCCTGTCTTTAATCATCCAATCATGGAATCCGAACAGGAGATTCTTTCCTCTAACCAACAATCTAAACTCATTCCAGATTCAAAACCCGGCACATTCATGAGCTTTGGACCCGTGAAATATTCCTATCCCCATCAGGAAACATCACAGCCGCAGACCATTCTTTTCACCAGAACACCACAACACATCTTTCATCATCAGCCACCGAGAACGCAACTGATGATTTTTCGAAGACCACCACAACAAATGCGTCGACCAATGCCACCTCCTCCTCCTCCTCCAATGATGACAATGCCATCTTCAATGATGTCCCGTCCGCCAGTATTTATCGAGAGAAAAAAATCCGTCTACAAAAGTAATAAACTAATGAATCCTCAGGTAACAAAATTGATGAAAATCGCCAAATTGGAAGCCAAAGTTTCTGAAATTGATCAATCCAGTATTTCCATGAAGCCAGCGAGAAATACTGGTTTCAATCCCGATTCAATTGTCATCGAAGGTGGTTTCAAGCCAATTTTGAAAAATATCGAATCACTTGGTGCACAGGATCGCAATTCTGATGATCAAATTTCCGAATTTCGAGAAAATTTCGAACCAATGTTCATTCCATCGCCTCTCGATCGTGATGTTAATAATAAAAAAGGAAAGAAAAAAATAATACAAAATCGTTCCAAAGTGAGAGTTGACGACGACATGGAAATGGCTGCCGATCGTTTAGATTCCTATTATTTGCCACCGAATCATTCACCTGATGAACAAACATTGATTACATTCGACGGAAAACGTGTTAAGGATTCCAATCTTGCGCGTTCAATTCCAAAATCAAATAGCGAACGTCCGAGAAAAAAATTAAATTCCGATCTACTTAGTCGAACACCACAATTTGGACGATTTAGAGGCGATCTACCACCAACGCTCGTATCGGGTGAAGTTCGAAATGACGATTTTGCACAATTAGAACGTAGACGTGTTAAGACAAAAGAGATTTCAATTCCAGAATTAACTTCAATTACACACAATAATAATCATCATTTGGGAAATACAAAATTAACATTAATTGACAGAACAAAAAGATCAACGAATGAGGAGAGAAATATGTCCAATTTGGGAATTAATCATGATCACAATGGACACACATATGATCATACTGGTTATGTTCAAGATCACGAGGAATATGTTCATCATAGTGATCACAATAATCACGATCATAGTAATCATGATCACAGCAATCATGATCATAACAGTAATCATAATTCGGATCACGATAAACATAATCATGATCATAATGATGGAAGTTCAACTTTGGCGAGCACTGGACAAGTGATTATTGCCAATATTGAATACATTGTTTTAACAGCCATTTTATATTATATCATTTGATGATTCAATTTTTAATATCATCGAAAAAAAAGAAATTTTCTTTTTTTTTTGATGATAATTTTATTAGTCATGAGATTTGACGATTCAATTAGAGATGATTAGGTGAAATTTATCAAGTTTTTCTTGTAGAAACTTTCTTGATACTTTGACTATAAATGTCTTCCATGGATCTAAAGCCAAAATGATGGGATTGTGAAGATTGAACGTACCGGCAAGAATCATTCTTTTCTTTTTTATGATCTTATATTTTTTTCGTTAAAATCAAAAAAAAAAAAAAAATCACTTTCATGACAAAAGTTTCGGATTTCAATCAGTTTTGGTAAATTTTTATAACAAAAAAATTCTTTTTGGATCATTCCGAATCAATTAGTTTTATTTCAAAGAATAATTTTAATTATTTTGAATTCTGAATCAAATTTTATTTCGAATCAATCCGAAGCTAAATTTTAAACCTTTTAAATTATGAAATTTTATTCCGAATCAATTTGTTTCATTTCAAAGCTTAATTTTTTTTTCTTTTTTTTTTGTTAAATATTACAGCCCATTATTACAAGAACTTTAATTTTTTTAAATCCTGAAATTTCATTTTGTATCAATACTACAGGCCTCGGATGTTACGACTTTTTCCGACTTTTTTTTCGAAAATAAAACTTTTTTCGACTTATTTTTATTATTACATTTAAGATATTATAAGATATTACATTTTTTACAAAATACGTTTTTTTAGAATACAATGAAGATCTTTTTCAAAACTTCTTTATTTCAATTATTTAATAAATATAATTCTTCTTTGAATTAATTATTTTCAATAATTTCAAATGAAATTCTTCATAAATTCACTTATCTTAAACTATTTTTCAAGCAAAAATTTTATGAAATTCAATAATTGTTTAAAATTAAAAAAAAAATCACCAAATAAAATTACCAAAAATTTCAATTCAAAATCACTTAAAATTCAATTATTTTTAAAAATTTAAATTTAAAACCTTCTAAAATTTAATTATTTCTAAAAATGTTCCATTTAAAACTTTCTGAAATTTCATAATTTCAACTATAATTCTTTCGAAATTCAATTATTTTTAGTGATTTTTATAATATTCTTCAGAAATCCAATTATCTGATAGCATTTTTCAATTAAAAACTTTTGAAATTTAATTTTTTTCTCTAATTTTTAATAAATTCTTTATCAACAGAAATGACCGAAAATTTGAATAAAAAATCACTTGAAGTTCAAATTATTTGCAAAAATGTGAATTTCAAATTTCCGAAAATACAATTATTTTTAAAAAATATTATCTAAAATTATTTGATAAATTATTTTCAATTCAGTAAAATTTGATTATTGTCTAAAATTTAGGAAAATTTTTTGAAATTCAATTATTTCTAAAAATTTTAAATGGAACTCATCCAAAATTTAATTATTTTTAATAATTTAAATAATTCTTTAAAAATTCAACTAATTTAATCCCAAACTAAATTTCATTCCTTTTAAATTGTGAAATTTCATTCCGAATCTATTCCTTTAATTTGAAAGCTTAATTTTAATCCTTTTCAATACGGAATGAAATTTCACAATCCAAAAGTATTAAAATTTAGTTTCGTACTGAAACGAATTGATTCAAATAGAAAAAATATCAAATTGAAAAGAATTAAAATCCAAGTTCAGAATGTAACGAATTGATTAATATTCTGTTTACATTAAAATTTAGATTCGTATAGAAACTGATTGTTTCGGAAGCAAATTTTAGAATGTCTCTAAATAATACTTATTAAAACTGATTGAAATTTAATTCAAAACTATCATCAGGGTTATGTTGATAGAACTCAAAATTCTTTCATGCAATTGTGGAAAATTTAAATTAATTATTTAAATGTAAGTTGGTTTTGTTTTATATTTAAATATTTTTTATTCAACAAATTTTTATTTTTATTATTTATAATTTTTTTTAAATATATTCCACATTTTCAAGTTGGATTTGAATTTTTCGAAACTTTAATATGAAATTGTTAATATTAAAAATTGTTTTATTTTATATATTCCATATTTTGTAAACTTTTTTACCATTTTTTTTATTCTGTTTTTATTGTAACTTTTCTTTGTCTTTTTTTTTTCTTAAATTAATAATTGTACTTTCATTTTTTATTTATATTGATGTTTTTTATTTTTAATTAAAATATTTTGCACATTTTTATATGCACTGGCACTTCGATAAATTTTATTTAAAACTTTAAAATTCGTGTTAAAAATGTTTCATCTCATAACAAATCAATAATCTACGATTTGTAGAAGTTTCAACTATTATCGAGGTTCCACTGTATTCACATTTTTTAATACAGGAAATTGATTTTTTTTTTGAGAACAAGGATCTTATTACAATTTTTGAAAAAAAAATTCTAATAAATAAAACAAATTAAATAAAGTAAAAAGAAATCTGTTCTTGAAGGGAAAATTGTTATCCTAATTTTAATATATATAATTTTATATTATTATTGTATACAAAATATATTATATTTTACATATAATAATAATAATAAAAATAAAAATACGACAATAATAATTTAATTAAAAAATGATTTCTGCCGGAAAATTTATAAATTATATTTTTGATATAAAATTTTTATAAAAATTTAAATTTTGATAAAATATAAGAAATATGATTTCCATCTGAGTGAATTAGAAAAAATATTTTGTATTTTTCCAAAGCATTTGGCAATTAATATCTTCTTTATCTTTCATTGAACTCATATATTTATCATTTACCCCTTCAACATATATATATATATATATATACATTTACAATAGACTTTTCTTTTAATAATATACAATGAAAATAGAAAAGAAAGAAAAAACATTGAACGATGCGCTACATTTTAGCCTGCTGAATTTTTTTTTTTAGACATCATAATTTTCAACACTCATAAATAAATCTTATATAAAGATTTAAGAACTGCCTTATTTATCAATTGTAGAAATTAAGTATCTTAGATTTTTTTTTTTTAATAGTTAATCGACAAAAATAATTCTTGGTGCCCATGGGCAACAATTATTGCTCACTATATAGAAAAAGGAAAAAAAACAGTTGCTCACTCAAAAAAAAAAAAAAGAAAACCGTGAGGTATTTACGTCAATAAAATAGATAAAACTACGTACAAATTAAGCACAATGTGTTTATGAAACTGAAAAATTACAACGTTTACAATGATTTTATGAAAACGAGGAGTTTTCATTTTTTATCCTCCATTTTTATGGGAAAAAAATTTTTTTAACTTTTTTATTTTTTCTAAAATATAAAAAATAAAAATTATATTTTTGTTACCTTTATACGATTTGTTAAACTTTTATAATAATTACCCTTTCTCATTTGAAAGATGAAAGAATACAAAATTGTTTGTTATCGATAGATTTTGTATTTTTCAGTTTCATTGTGTTCATTAAATGCGATTTTGTCGGAATTTAAACGAATTTTAATCATTAATTGCTTTTTAAATTAAAATGTAGATATTAATTATGTTATTGATAAATTTGATTTAATTGCTTATAATATTATAATCAGTTTATTGACTATTTTATTGTATTGTTTGTTTTTCTTAATAGAAATTATTATTTATAATATTAAATTGAAAAAATTGTTTTATAAAGTTACAATTTTCAGTTATTATTGATAAAAAATTTTCTGCATTTTTAAATAGATAATTAATATATCTACTAATTTAACATCTGAAAAATCAGTCACTGATTTAAATTAGTCAACAATTTAGACAAATTCAGATTTAAAGAATGAACCTATACTTTTAAGACGTAGTTCTGTAACGAAAAATTGTTAAGTTTGCAGAAGCACGTGTACATAGGTATAATGTATTGTTAATAAATGAGAAAGAATAAAAACGTTTTTTTATTTCCATTCAAATTTTTAATTGAATTAGATTCATTGTCAAAATGAATCTATTTCCAAAAAATATTTTTCAATCCAAATTTTCGAAAAAAAAAGATTTTTCTAATAAAATTTGTTTTCTGAAAAAAAAAATTTTTCGAAAATTTCAAAAATATTTTTTTCCAAAAAAAAGTTTTTTTATAATAAATTGTTTTATATAATAAAAAAATGTATTTGTTATATCTATTCAAATTTTGATTAATTGAAATTGTTTAAAATTCGGGTAAATTGATTTTTGAATAAGTGGAAACTTAAATTAATCAAAATTTGGATAAATTGAAATTCGGATATTTTTAAATTTAAATCAATTAAAATTTTGAAAAATCGAAATTGGAATTATTTTAAAAATAAATTTTAATTAAAATTTGAACAAATTTGAAATTCGAATAATTTGAAACATTTTGCAATTATAATTTTTGGATAAATTAAAAAATTCAGATAATTTGTAATTTAAGTCAATTAAAATTTGGACAGATTGAAATTCCCATAATTTCGTTAATTTTACATTTCGATTGATTTAATTTGCATTTGATTAAAATTTTAATTGAAAAAATTTATTTTTACCAACAAAATTAGAATTTATATTTAGATCGATTACAATTTTAATCAATAAATGCTTCAACTAATTTAAATTTATATTTATTGAAATGTGTCCTAAATAATTTTTAAATCTATGAAAAGTTTTTGATAAATTCAAGCTTGGGTCTATTGAATTATTTAGATATATAGAAAAAATGAAAATCTTTTTTTTTAGTATTATTTAATTTAATATTATTTCAGCAATGTTAGAAAAAAATCTTTTTAAGCGTTAATAAATTATTTTTCAGCATTCCTGAGTTTAAATCAATGTTTTTACATTGTAAATTCAATTGTTTTTTAAATATTATATTCGCAAATTAATTGAATAGTAAAAAATGTCAAAAAGGTAAAAAAGGTAAAAAAGGTAAAAAAGGTAAAAAATCACCAAAATAGGTGATAACCTGTGATTTTTGTATTAATTCGACAACAATATTTTTGACGTTAAAAATAATTAAAATTTTGGAATATATATTTGATAAGAGAACTTTATATTATAAGAAAAATGAAATTTAAGAAATGAAATTTTATTAGAATTTGAATTGGAATTAGAATTATTTATTTATTAAAATTGACATAAATAAATAAAGATTGATATAAAGAATAATTAAAAATTATTTTTTAGAAATAGTTAAATCACTTTTAAGGGAGATTGAATATCTGTAACTTTATTTTTATAAAATACACACTACGGATTAAAATTAGAATTTTTTTTTTTCAAAAACGATTAAAATCTTTTAATATATATAAAAAATTAGAATAAATTGAAATTTTTTTTACATTAAAAAAATATTATTATAGTAAAGAATTTAATCGCTTTTTCAAAAAATATTCAGTCCCATTGTTGGTAAACTAATTCCACCTCATTTTGATCAGCATCACAATCTATCATTTTTTCACAATTATTATTTTTAATAATTTTCAGTTTAGAAACATTTTTTTCCGAATCGGCAGAATTCTCTATTGTTGTCGTTGTTGTTGTTGTTGAACTCAAAAATTTATGTATATTCCAATTTCTATGTCTTATTGGTAAAGTTGATTGGTGATTGACAATTTGATCAATTGGAATGTTTGTTATAGATTCAGTTGTTGTAACATGATAATTTCGATTGCATTCGACAGGTAAACTAGTAATTAAATAACTATTGTTCCAATACCATTTGCATTTTGTAAATACTGTTGAATAAATATTGTAAATTACATTTTTTAAATCCAACCATAATTGAGGAAACTTTTTATATTTATAATAGTGTAAAGATCTTTTTTCACGATTTTTGTCATTTTCTCTCACAGATCGTTTTGAATTTTTCTTATCTTTTCTCGATGTTTGATTTTTTTCTTTATTTTGAATAATTTTCGTTGACATTGTAGTTTTTAAAGTTGATGGTTTTTGTGTAACATTTTTTGAATTTGTCTTTTTAGTCACATTCTTTGAAGTTACAATATTTTTGGTAACATATTTCGAAGTTGGCATTTTTTGTGTAACACTTTTTGAAATTTCTGTTTTTTTAGTTAAACTTTTTGGTGTTGTAATTTTTGTCACACTTTTTGAAGGTGTAATTTTTTGAGTTACACCTTTTAATTGTGTCATTTTTTGTGTTACACTTTTTGAAATTTCTGTCTTTTTAGTTACAACTTTTTGTGATGTAATTTTTGTTGTCGAATTTTTGGAAATTTGATTTTTTTGAGTGACACTTTTTGAAGGTGTATTTTTTTGAGTTGCACTTTTTGGGGGCGTTAGTTTTTGTGTCGTATTTTTTAATGGTATAAATTTTGGTGTTGTACTATTAATAATTTTAGTTTTTTGAGTTACGATTTTAGAGGTAAGAATTTTTGGAGTTGTTGTAATTGGTATTGATGATTTTGTTGTCGATGGAATACAAAAAGTTGAATGATAACTGTAAACTTTTAACGATTTCGATGTTTGATAAATCTGATCAAAATCTTCGGAATCAACAGTTATTTCAACGATATCCTTATCTTTCCACGATCGATTTACAATTGCAGATCTGGATGTTCCCACAATTTTCATGATTGTTTGAAAATCATCTGCCGCAGGTATGAGAACAAATGTGTATCTTAATCTGTATAAAGAAATGTTGTCAATTTTACAAATATATTTCATATTTTCAAAAATTAAAATTTATTAATATTAAATTTCAATTTTTCTTCAATTAAAACAATTTTGGATGAAAAATGTTCAACTCAATACAAAATTGACTTTTATTTGATTTTAAAAAATTTTCAAAATTGGAAAAAAGATTGTAATTGAAAAAATTGAAATTAATATTTTTAAAAAAGAAAAACAAGATTTTAAATGATGTATAAAAAAAAATGTTTTGCGAAATACTTGCGTTGATTTTTTGCACTTCGTCATTTTGCTGTATATAACTGTATTGTAATTAATGAAAAGCAACGTAATTAGAAATATTGCTGCAACTTGCATATTGATTTCTCACAATCAAATTCAATGAAACATCATAAAATTCAAATCAATTTTTTATGAGCACTAAAAATGCCACAATTCATAAATTCCAACTTTATAATTTACCATTTTAAATATCACAGAATCCTTCAAAAAAACACTTAATCTTGTATTAAACAAAAAAATGATTATTTCATTTTTAATTAAATAAATAATTATTTAAATAACAGTAATAATAATAATTCGAGAAAATAATTATATTCAGTTTAATAAAATCTAAATCACTGAATTTTTTTTTTTTTGTAGAAATTTTTTACTTACACTTTTAAAAAAAAATGACTTAAAGGTCTAATTTTCCGGTTCAATAAATAATTACACAATTTTTTTTGGCCTTTATCATTTCTTTGTTAGAAATAAAGATCAAACAAATTTTTTATAAAAACAATTCGTTAACAACTGTACACATCTTTCAAGATTCGTAGCGTATATATATAAGAGCAGCATATATTTAATTTTTTAAATCTTTAAATATTTCAATCATTTAAAAATAATAAATTTAGTCACTCCGACCACAATTGCTTTCAGGGTTATTATTTTAATCTAATTTTAATTTCTAAATTACGTAATGTGTGTTATATTATGTATTTTCTATTTTTATAAAGAAATAATTAATATCTCTTTTAAAAAAAAAACCCTGAAAAATAATAGCAGCATATATATTTTATTAATTAATTAATGAAATCAATTATATTTCACTAATTAATCGCAATATTTATAATACTGAACATAAAAGAGGAGAAAAAGAAATAAAGAATAAGGCGCAATGTTCAGTTTAAAACAGTAAAAAAAAATATTAATAAAAAATCACGATTTCGCATATTGGCAGTATAAGAAACAAAAATTAAGTACATTTTTTTTCAATATAAAAAATATCGAATTGATAAAAAATAGTTTCAGAAAGAAAAAAAAATAATTACAAAAGAAAAATATTATTGTAAACAAATGCCACTCAAATGATGCCGCACTATTGTGAGATTGAATTGTACGAATCTTAAGCAATTTTTTTGTAGTGAATTATGCACAAGTTATTACTCATTAATTTGTACACAATTATATAAATTATACAATTATTATAATAATAGTGAGCATAAGTTTTTTTTTTTTTTGTTTTATAAATAAAAGCTTTCCAAGAAAAAAAAGGGATCTCACATTTTCTAAAAATGAAAATCTTGTTTCGAGATAATCTTAAAAGAAAAGAAAAGAAAATTGGGTTCAAATCCTACTTCTCTACAAATATTATTTTAAATTAATTTCTTACAATTAAAGTACAGCTTATAACAATAATAAAGCAAACGCACCTATTTTCTAAAATTCATACTATCAAAATCATCTTTAACAATAAATTACACCCTAATCATGAAACAGGATGAACCCAATTTTAGAAATTGTCAAAAAAAAAAAAATATTTTTCTTTTTATAAACGGAATCTCATTGATTTATACGTGGGATATTTAATAACACGTTTCCTGCATTCATATCTTATAAACTAAAAAATAAAATTAAAATCAACTTTTAAAGATTTCATTTAATTATTTTTTGCAGCGATAATCAATGCTGGGGCACATTCCATACAGTAAAAATAGTTGGAATTTTCAATTTAAAGAAGTTATTTTTTAGAAGACTTTATTTTTTGAATTAGCTTTTAAGATAATTTTCTTTTTTTAAACAAATTTTTACTTAACAAAATTTTTAGCTAACGAACTTTTACTTAACAGAATTTTTAATTTGCCGAATTTCTTTTTATCCAAATTTTTACTTAAAAGAATTCTAATTTAAACGAATTTTAATTTAGCATAATTCTCATACAATAGAATTTTTTAAGTAAATTTAAAAAAAAGAACTGAAATCTTTATGTCGATTATTTGTTTTGCCGTTTGTAATTTCAGATAAGTGAAAATTCGGCTTTTAAAGAATTCTTTATCAAATAACAATTCGTGTAAATGAAAATTTGGACAAATTAAAATTCGGTACATTGGAAATTCTATCATTTAAAAATTCGTAGCACTTAAAATTCTATTAAATTATAATTTTTTTTGAATAAAAATTATTATATTTTTATTAATAATAATAATAATATTAAAATATTTTCATTATTCTTTAAAAAAATAATTCGTACAAATAAAAATGTGGACAAATTAAGATTCGGTAAATTGAAAATTCAAGGATTTAAAAATTCAAAGCACTCAATTTCTCTACTTTTAAATGAGAATTCTGCTAAATTGAAATTCGATTAAATTAGAATTCTTTTAATTAAAAACTTGTGTAGAGAGAAATTCTGTAAAATAAAAAATCAACCAAATAAAAATTTGGTGCCTAAAAATTTTGTAAAGTAAAAATTTGTTTAAAAAAAAAATTTCGTCAAATGAAATTTCAAATCAAAAAATGAAAATTCGTCTAAAAAATAATATCTAATAAAATTCTTTAAAATAAAAATTCTAAATTATAATTTTACCCCATCAATGATGAAAAAAAAAGAATTTGTTATTTTCAAAACATTTTTCTCAGAGAAAATTGTTTTCAGCTTCAGACTAAAATAATTTCTCAAAATGAACTATGTAGTAAAAAAAAGGAGGAAACAAATTGAAAACAGTCAATCTTCTTATAAAATAAACAGCAAGTTGTGAGACACAACTTTTCTTTTTTTTTTTTTCTTCTTTTAAGGGTAGAGAAATTAAACAACTGGTTGATGCCAGACTATTTTTCCACTTAAGCAACCTGAGACAAGGAGGCAGTGTCTTGGAGAAAACTTTGTACTGACAACAATATCCGAATGACTGACATTTGTTGCCAATTCATTTAATTGTACCGATTCATTGAAAGCAGGAACACAGCCTGACAATTCTTGGCATTCATTGGAAAATGCTAAAAGACGAACGCCATAACCAAATGGTGAACATATAACACGTCCATCGGCCGAGAAGCACAATTCTTTAATATAACCAGAGCCAACATTTGGCTCTTCAATATAATGCGTGAGTCGCGGTATATTTTGATGGATTTTCTCATTTCTCGTTAATGCATACATTGGCTGTTGTGATTGACAATTTTGACCCGAGCCACGATAACGATTTTCACCTGTTATCACCACAGTGTACGATGAACGTGGTAAACTGACGTTAATTGCATTATTTGCACGCGACGCAACCCATTCTCGCCATTCATTTGATGAATGCATCTCTCGTCCTCTTTCGCGTCGTGCTCGTGTCTCACGAAAAGCCACCAACGCCTCCCAAACATCTGCCGAACTCACATGTAATTCAACACCAGTTGAGAAATTACGACGATCCGACATTATTCTTCGTCGCGTTTCATTTAATTGTGCGCCTAAACGTTCATCGTCTCTTGTTGCGGCCGCCGCCGCCGCCGTCTCACCGCGTGGCCTCTCATCATCATCATTATTTTCATCTTGCACTTCATGATCTGATCCTTCATTATTTGCATCATCGGTCGTCACACGATTGGCAATGTCGACAATTGTAAAATTATTCGTTGCACTTGAACGATGAGTTGATCGTAAATTACGCGCTTGTAAACGTGAACTGCGTCGTGAACCCTCTTGCCAAGTATTTGTTCGTGATGGAAAAACGGGTTGTGTCACTTCGGTTCTCACAAAAGACGTGGATCTTCCCTCGGGTGTGGCTGGAGAATTTCTTCCACGATTTGTACGATCGATCATAAATGTTGACGTTATTCCAGAACGTGATGGTTGTGGCTGTTGCGAGTCATCCGATTCTTCGGACACGTCATTGAATGGCATATTTCGCTCACCATCTTCTCTCATTAGTTCATCAACTTCTGATATGTCACGTTCTTGAATGTCATGTACACACGTCCACTGGAAATTATAATAATTATTTTTTTTTATTGAAAATTTCTTAATTTTTGTGAAAAAAAAATAATTGAAATTCAATTACAAAAGAGAATAAAATTAAAAATCACGAGTTTTAATTAAAAAAAAAAAAGAAATCTATCTTTAGAGCGAGGCAGAACCTTTATTTTGACATCTTCAAATTTTAATAATCGAAGACGTCGGTAAAATTTACAACGTTTATTATCAATGATTAAAAATAAAAAATATTTTTCACGCGAAAAAGGATAAAATTTTTTGCTTATAAATTTTTGTTTTAAAAAATTTATTGATCGAAAAACGTTGCAAAAATTTTTTTAGACAAAAATTACTAAAAGGAGTATTTTGTCAGAAAAATTGAAAATTTTGAACCACCTTGTTGATTACTAAATAAATTATAGGATTTTTAAAAAATAAGAATAAATATTGTTAAAAAATGTTTTTTTTAAGAAAGAGAATTTTAGAAAAATGAAAGAGAAATTAGAGTTAATGATAAAAAATCGAGATCTTTGTTCCGTCTGTAAAAATAAATAAACGTTAGGAATTTTCAAAAAAAAAATTTTAAATAAATGAAAATTTTTTTGCAATAACAAACCAAATTTGTTGGTTTTATATTAAAAATTCGATTCTGATTGTAACAAATTATTTTAAGAAATAAATATCCTTTTAGGAAATTTTACTAATTCACGGTTTTGTTATAAAATTCAAGGAATTTCAAGGTTTTTCAATGTTCGAAAAAAAGAACTTTTCAAGGATTTTAAAGTCCGTTGGGCACATTGATATTAATTAATATTGGGCTCGTTGAATGCGGATAACTTTTATTTGTTCGTAAAATATTTCATTTTTTATTAATTTTTATTAATTAATTAATTATTAATATTTATTTTATTTATTTATTTTTCAAACAAATTGTTTACAAATTAATATTTTTTTTAAAAAAATAATTTTTATCTAAAAGTTTAAGGTCTTCTGCGTAAAAAACATTAGTAACACCTTTTTTTCTATATTTTTAGCAGAGAAAAAGTTATAAGCAAAGCAAAAAAATATTGATAATATTTGTTATTGTAAATATCTGCAAAAATATTAAAAATTTCAAATTCAAATTTTTTACATTTATTTAGCACCAGTATATTACTACAAAATATATCGAATTTTGAGAATAATCCGAGACATGATTCTGTCTTTTCATATTAAATGCTTCATTTAATGCGAAAATCTGTCTCACTTTAAAATTATTTGCAAAATTTTTTTAAATATTACCATGTTAGAATTAAAAAAATTTTTGAAACTTCCCAAAAGCAAAAATAAATTAAACTACGTGAAATCGCCCATTAATGTTATATATAATCATAAAATAATAATTTTATTAAATAAATTGCTAAAATAAAATAATTAAAAAAATACTTTTGTTGTTAACTATTGTAAAAAAAAGTATAGAAATTTAATTTTTATTTGTAAAATGCGATTTTAGTAAGTAAAAATGGATGATTATTTGCATTTGAAAAATTTAATTATGAACAATTTTGTAAGTAAAGAAAGACAAAAAAATACATCGAAAAAAATGTACGAAAAAAAATCATAATAACTGTTTAAAAGAAACTATATTTAGAAAACGAAATAAAAAAAACCTATTAAATGTTCAAGTTACCTCTGATTTTTCACCGATACTAATATTTCGGGATAATGCGCACCATCCTTGTGGATGAACTTGCAAACTAGATATCACTTCAGCTTCATTTCCTTCTGGAAAATCTGTCAGAAATTCAATGCGATTGTGCTTTCGATTGTTGGAAAAAAGATGAGTATAATTTGCTGCCATCGGAATGGTTGTTTGCGAGACTTGCATCAAACGATACATATTCGGCTGTATTTAAAAAAAAAATAATAATTCTAATTAATTACATCTCATTAAGTTTTAACCGTTCAAAAGATAAAATATACATTAAGAATTAAATTAAAGTTTTTTAAATTAAAATAAATTTTTTAATCTACTTAATAAATTAATAAATTTTTATTTTTATTGGAAAATTAACTACGATTGAATGAAAAAGAAATCAATTACCTTAAATCCCCGTAAGTCAGTTGCTAATGCACTAAGCTTGAGATCGTGAATTATAATTAAATAACCGGAAGTTGTACAAATGAGCATTTTACTAGCATCAGGACTTAATCTCGTTCTCATTAATCCATTCGTTTGAAATACTCTAGTATACAAACAGCTATTTTCTGTAAAACTAAAATAAAAATACGGTTAACATTTTTTTTAACATTTTTTTTTTAGTATTTTTACTATTTTATTTGATAATAATTATTTTCAATGACAGGACCACCTACTATTTATTTTGTAGAGTAAGGATTTTCCTATTTATTTTATTTCAACTTTTACAGGGTGAAGCATTAAAATTTGTGAATAAAATTCAACGTTTTTCTACTGTTTTCTTCTGGCTTTTGAAAAAAAAATTTAATTTTCTAAATTAAAAAATAATATAAAAATAAAAAATAATTAATAAAATGAATAAAATAAAATAAAAATTATATCCAAAGAATTGTTTTAAAAAAATAAAAATATTCAAAATACCTAAAAATTTACTACAAGAAAATAAAAAATGTACTTAAAAACATGTGAACAATTCAAGAAATACGACATTCTGTCAACTACACAAATTTTATTATGGATAAATAAATAATAAATTAAAGAATTTTAAATTAAACACCAGCAATATTTATATCAATTTTTCTAATTAAAAACATAATAAACTTATTTTAATAAAATTTATCATTTCCTTTACAAATTCCAAGAATTATTTACAAAACTAAAAAATTAATTCACACTCTAAATTCATTAACAATAAAAGTTAGTTACTTAAAAATTCATTAATATTAAAATTTCAATTGTCTTGAAAAAATTCAATCTTTTGTTAATTTAGTTATTTTTTCAATTTATTATATTTAAAATTCAATTATTGTTTTAAAATTCAAAATTTTTTAATTTAATTTTATTTAAATTCAATTATTAATATGAAATTCCATCATATTTTTAATGTAATTATTTATAATTTCAACTATAGGTATTTTATAATTATTCAAATTTAATTTATGTTCAATTAATTTGTAAATTTAATACGTCAGTGAAGTTTACAACGTTTATAATCAACGATTTAGAAGAAACAATATTTTTCTAGGCAAATTATTATAATTTTTTGTCTAGACAAATTTTTATAACATTTTCTCGATTAAGCAATTAAAAAAAAATAATAATAATTTAAAAGCAAAAAAATTTATTACTTTGCGAATGAAAATTATATATTTTTTTCAATCGTTGATCATAAACTTTGTGAACTTCACCGACGTAATTTAATATTATTTTCATATTAAATTACTTGGTAATTTCAATGTTATTCGCATCACCGAAAAAATCACAAACTTAATATAAAGTAAAATTAATGAAATAAAACTAATTGAATTTGAAACAATAGTGAATTTTAAAAATTATTGAATTTAAAGAAATAATTTAGTTAAAAAATAATTCAATTTCTTTATAGACATATATTTTAAAATTTAATGATATATTTTGTTAATTTCAATAAAATTTTCCACGGTTTTTGTTAGAGTAGTGAGTTAAAATAAAAAAAAAAAACTAATTTATTCTGTAGGTACAGAATTATTCTATTTGCACGAAGCTGAAGTACGCAACGTTTATGATAAACGATTTTTAAAGAAATAATTTTTTAAAATGAAAAATTCTATAATTTTTTGCCTAAAAAATATTTTTTTATAATTTGTTGATTAATGAAAACTACAAGAAATATTTTTTAGGCAAAAAATTATATAGAATTTTTCATTTTAAAAAATTATTTTCTTTAAAAATCGTTTATTATAAACGTTGCGTACTTCAGCTACGTCTATTTGCGATTTTCAACAATTTCATTCTTTTGACGTTTTAAATTATACAACTTTGTAATAAATGAAAATTATTAGTTCTACGATATGTTTATTTAAAGTTAATAAAACCGAGAACACATTTATGCATAGAAATTGCCATTTCCATCTAAAAAGCTTTTTGAAAAAACAATATTTCGAAGAAAAAAAATTTATTTTCAGCTTCAACAATTCAGCTTCAATGGTTAAATTTGTATTTTTTCATAAATCTTTTCGCGTCAAAGTAAACTAAAAATCGAAAATAATTCATCACAAATTTTAATGCAAAAAAAAAAAAAATTTAAAGGTCATTCTTGAAAAATGATAAATTTTTAAGAAATCAAAGTTTAAGTAAAAAAAAAATCAAGGTTTTCAAAGAAAAATTTCCAGTTTTTAAGATTTCAAGGATGGTCGATCATATTGTAATTATTTTTTCTTTGTTTATTTATATTACTTACCTATTAATATCCCAAGTGTAAATACTACCATCAAAACCACTAGTCAACAATAAACCATCTTTAGGACTATATTCGACATTTTTTACCCAATTGGAATGTCCTTGTAGAGTTCGAATTCTTTGTTTTAAATTCCTAGCATCCCAAAGTGCTACAGTACTATCGTCAGAACAGGTAGCAAATATACGTTGATCCAAAAATCTTTGTTTCAAACAAAAGGAAAAGAAAAAAATCATTTTTAATTGGATTTATAAATGACCATTTATAAGTTACTAAATGCCATTTTTAAATTCTATTTTTAATTTCTATTTTTAATTAGAAATAAAATTCTAATTAATTTAAAAATAAATTTACATACCTCACACAATTAACGCAATCAGTATGAGCATTGTCAATTGCATGAATTAGTCGTCGACTTAATGGATCAAACATTAAAACGCTCTTTTTTTCACAAGCTGCCAAAAGAAGTGATCTACAACAAAAGAACGGGAAATAAATTTCTATTTATTGAATTTAAATTCAATGTTTAATTATTATTCCACTAAATGGTAAAATAGGAAGAAAAAAAAGTCTTTGTCAGTAATAACAGGTTCAGTGAATTTCTAAATGTCATTGAGTAAAAAAAAAAAAAGAACCTTTCTTTTTTTTTACGAATTATAACACAAAAAAAAAAGTTAAAGGCAAAAACTTATGAAAGAAAAATAAGGTCCAATAAAAATATTAATACAAAAAAATTCAATCGAAATATATAGCAAAATATGTAAATTATGAAATAAGGTTCACTTTATAAATATGTATATGAGTACAAGAAAAAAATGGAAATACATATAAAGAAACAAACTGTAAGTATATCGCGAGATATACATGATTAGTATAAAGATAAATATTATTGAAGAATTTGCAATTTTTTCAAGAAATCTTATTTCGAAAGGTAAATATCTAATAATACTCGTAATATTTCACAAACTTATTGATTTAAATGATTTCATTGGTCGAATAGATTTACCTTTCTTTCGTCCTTTATTAATGCAATGATGCAATGTAGTATTTTTTTTTTTTTTTTTTAAGGTTAGGAATGAGATTTATACTTGAACTTCAGTGTTATAAAGTATAACAAAAAAAAAAAAACTAATTATTTTAAAAACAACTTACCCATCAGGAGAATATTCTAAATTAAAAACTCCGCCGTGAATTGCACTGACCAAATTTTCATTATGATCCCAAGAAGTGACAGGCTGTACTGATGAATATAAAGTTTTGTGAAAACGATCATTATGACCCAAAGGTTGACTGATACCAAGTTCTCGTTGTCTCAACCACATACTATTTAAATGCAATTTTGTTTTTATTTTCGGCATTTTCTCCTACTTTTTTTTTTTTCTTTTTTTTTCAATAATCAAAATTTAATGACAGTAATTTTTTGACAGCTCCGGACGAGAGTGACTTATACAATAAAAACGATGATTGATTGTCACTACTTATTTAGTTTACACCAAAAAAAAAAAGAGACCTTGAATAATTTTTCTTTTTCTTAAATTATTTAAACATTAAATCTTCATATCAAAAAGAATTTATTGTTTTACACACTCTTCAGTCATTGCAGTTCAAGGTTTTCAGGTAAAGGTTAGGTCATGAATATGACAAAATTTTCTTTTTAAACAAATCATTTGCTGAAATTAAATTAAAAATTAATATACAATATAAAAGAAAGCTTTTAATTATACAAATTTTCAGAAGTAAATTAAAGTGATAAATACCTTTTTTTTTCAAAAAATCTCTACTTGTTTGACATTTATATCGAATGCAGTTGGCGATACATAGTGATTTAATCGATTCTATATAGCAGTGTCGTCACACCTTTGGTCACTGTTGGTTATCGTCTGGTTATCGTCAGTATATGGTTATCGTTGAGAATACATGTATACATACACATAAATTGAAGTATATGTCAGTATATGTATTGGTGTGTTTATAGGTATATATTGGGTATATTATTTACAATATGGTGTTATTTTTCTTGTAAGTCATTACTATGTGATAAAAGTAATTTGTTATTTAATTTATTTACATCAAACTAATTATTTTCCTTAAATAATTGTTTAAATAAATCAACTATGCGAATGTAATTTTTTTTTCTGGACAATATATACTCAATTGCAGACGATTCTAACCTCAAAAAGTTGTTGACATTTAAAGGGACAATATATGATAATATTGTGATATTATCAAGTATTTTGGATAAAAATGTGGTAAAAATATAATATAAAATATAGTAAAAATATAATCTAAAGTATTTATTTTATATTAAGTGAATTTAATTAACGAATGAAAACAAAGAATGTTTTTTTTTTTTTTTTTATTAAAATAATCAAAACTCAAGTGTTTTGTTATATAGATACAATTTTTTACTTTTATTATAAAATACACGTTCTTAATGCAGAGAAATTTATTAAATTATTATAAAATAATTATATTTCTAAAATTCTGAACGTTCAAATGAACGAAATTAATTTTTTGAAAAAAAAAAAAATTATAGCACTGAAAAATAAAATACTTGAATTAATAATTTATTTTTAGATACATAATAAGCAATATTTTATTGTCAAATTTGAAGTTAAAAAATTAATAAGAAAATAATTAAATTATTTATGTAAATATTTTTAAAAAATATTCCCTACTTTATTATATATAATATATTATATGATTTTTTTTTTATTCTAATATGTATAATATTTTGCAAAAAATTTGATAAATTTATATTGAATTAATCAGTCCATTGGATTTGTCGGCACAGAATTTAAAATCAGATTTACTGAAACTTTTTTCGCTCCATTTATCGAATTTGTTTTCCAAATCTTTGGACATGTAATTTTGCCAATCGCCTATTTCTCCTTTTCTAAGAAATTTAATATTTGGATCATCAATTTTATCATTCTTTGGAGCAATAATTTTAAATAAATTCACAGCAGGATTTGACGTCATTTTGGAAAATTTCAAATGCTCTTTGAGTTGTTCTATTTGCTCGTCTGTTAATTGTTTATTAAGAAAATTCGCCGTCTTTTTTATAATTTCTGTTTGATTCTGAAATATATTGAAAATAATAGTTATAGAAGATAGGATTTTCATAGAATTTCAAATTCTAATTGGTAATTTAATGAGCTTACTCTTTTCATGTCTTCGTATGTGAGGAATAGAATATTTTCATCATTTCTGTGATCCCAAAATTTGACAATATGTTTCCAAAATGGTCCCATTGGTGCTAGAGATAAAAATGAGATGAAATTATTTTTTTAAAAAAATTATTGTTCAATATATTTATCACCGAATGGTAAAATTTGTTTATTTTTTTTTTATTAAATAACTAATGTGAATTTTAATTACCACAATCGTTTAAAAATAATTCTGCAAATTCATCAAAACTGCAATCAATTCCGTGAAATGTTCGACAATAGTGATAAAAACTGACACATGTATCTTTAGGATTTCTCGTCACGTAAACAATCTAAAATAGAAAATAATTTTCTCTTCTTTTAACAATAAGAATAATTTTTTTTTAATTTGTCAAATCGAAATTTATAAAAATTTCTTTCAACAATAAGAATTATTTTCTCAGCTACATTTTTTTTTAATTTGTCTAAACGTACTTTATTTATAAAAAAAAATTTGGAATTCAAATATACCTTCGGTTTTTTTTCGTGAATTTGTTTTGGCAATAAATCCCAAGGAAGATGAGTTTTAATAAATCGTGGACTTGGCATTTCATCCACATATTTTACAGAATCGCCCAATTTTTGAAACCAATCGGTATAATCTCCTGTTACCATTAAAGCGGAAGATCTGTAGGAATAATTTTTTATTTCCTAAATTTTCAATTCAATGGTATAATAAATATAAGAAAAAAAAAATTGTTTCTCACTCGAGTAAGGGATTTCGTAAAATTATTAATGTTTCCGCTGCTTTAAAATCACAATCGTGAGCGATACACCAGACCATTTCTTGAATCCAATGACTACCTATTAATCAAACAATATATATGTTAAAGCTATTTTTAATTAATTAATTAATTGTTTATAAAGAAACAAATTTAATTATCAATTAAGAAATTATTAATTTAATTTCTTTAATTAATTTATAAAAAAATATTATTTTGCAATTTTTTTTTTTTTACAAATTTTTTATACTTTATTTTCTAAAAAAAATTACTATTCTTAAAATGTTTTCAAAATTGAGAATATTTTTTTTTTTTGTATCATTAATTAATTTATTTTGCAGTGGATGAATCTAGAATTTAAATAAATTATAAACTCACCGGTCCTTGGATAGGAAACAATCCACACGTCATCATTGCGAATTTCTAAATCACGAATTTTTGTACCAATAAGTGCATATTGTGGTGGTAATAAACAATTTCCTGGTTCCACTTTTAAAAAACTTGATTTCACTTTAAATATTTTATCCAATTTTTCTCCAATTACACCATCAACTGTTGTAAATGAAAGTGACATTTCTTTTCACTTATTGTAAAATAGTATATATGACAAGAAATAATTAAATCGTTAGTTAATTAATTAGAAACAAGAAAGATAAAAAACAAATTACTTAATAAATATTATCAACTATGGCACAAATAATTGTGAGTTCCTTTTTCAACTGCAGTTGAAGAAGAAATGCACTCATGTTTCTTCATTCGATGACTTTTCACTTGGTATAAATTTTCTCCTTTTTTTTTATTTATCTGACATACTCAACTTTCGTGTATACTTTCTTTTCAATGTCACTAATATTCTTGTTTCACTTTGCAAAACTGGTTTTACACACGTCATTGACCACAACTTAAAATCTGATGCCTTTGAAAAAGAATTATTTTTTATTTGCAATTTTTTTTTTTTGCAGCTAAAAGTTTTTATTTTTTAGTTTTTTAAAAGGCAAAAAAAAAATGGTGTAAAAATAATTACAGTATTTTAACAAAGGCAAAAAAATTATTTAATAATAATAATAATTATTATTTTTTTTTATTTTATTTAAAGAGATAACGGGATAATAATAATGTTATTATTATTATTATTATTATTATTATTATTATTATTATTATTTTAAAATTTACTAATATTTTTTGTAGAAAGTTGACAAAAAATATGTGCAGAAAATTACAAAAATATTTTCTAGAAATTAAATTCAAAAAATTTTAGGCAACAAAAATTTGAATTTTTAAAAAAAAATAATTAAATTTTTTATTTATTTATTTATTTATTTAATTACAATGTACGGGCTTACAAATAAAAAGTTAAAAATGCCCTTTAGTGCAAAAGCACTTAATATTATAAGGAGATATAATGAATGTAATCACAGAATGACGAAATCATGTAGGTGACTTATAGACTAATACAAAATTAATTAATTAAAAATTAATTCTGTTAATAACACTGTTGTCTAAATAGTTAGATTTATTAAATTTAACTCTGAACAGTTTTTGATTTCTTAAACCTTTTGAAGGAACAATAAAATTTATGTTTGACAGTATCGATTGACAATCGATTAATCCGTTAATTATTTTGAACAATAATAATAGATCCAAAAAAATAATTCTGGAGTAGAATTTTGGAATTTTCTTAAATTATTGAGACTTAAATTATTTTTAGTAAAAAAATTTAAATACAATTTTTAAAAAATATTAAATTTTTGATATTAATAATAAGATTTTTTTTATTTGGCATTAAACATAATATATTAACATTAATAGATCTTACATATATTTGGAATTAATATAATTGCGCATTTTTATTTTTTTAATTAATTTTTCATTTCAATTGAATTTTATTTCAAAACTTTAGAGATTTAATAATTTACAAAAAAAGATTTTTTCAGAAAAACAGAAATAAAAATTGTTTTCAAATATTTATTATTGTTTTTAACTGGTATACATTAAATAATAAAGATTCAATTTTGTAAATTTATTTTTAAAAAATTATTATTAAATTAGTATTATTTAAAAAATATTTTTCATTTTTATATTTTATTACAAACATTTTTGTATATATATAAAAAAATTAATTAAAAATTTAAAAAAAATTAAATATAAAAAAATACTAAAAATGAAATTAAGAAATACTATCAAAATAGCGTTAAAAAATGTTAACATTTTTTTTAAAAAATAAATTAAATATTAATCAATTAGTCAGGATTCAACTCGGGTTAAAATATAACAAAATATTATTATTTAATTTGAAAACTTTCTCGCGATCAATGAGAATCTGTAAGATTTCACTTTGCAGAGAAAGTTGTTTGTGTATCTTGATTTTAGGTTATTTCTGTACACAAAATTTCATTATTTTTTTTTCTTATTATTAATTTGCACTGAAAGTATTATTTTGTATTCGAAAAATAAAAAATAATAATAATTCTAACAAAGTGATTTTGTAATAATAGTGATTTTTATTTATTCGTAATAATTGGAAGATTTTTTTAAAAATAAAAATTAGTTTTGTAAATTTGTTCAAATTTCTTTTATTTTTTTTTTCGAGATTATTATAGATTTTTCCTCAAAAAAAAATTATTTAAAAATCGAATTACACTTTAATGCTCATGCGTAATTGTCACGTGTCAAGGAATCAAAGTCACGTGACCTGCGCTTGCTGCTAAAGCTGTCATTTATATTCGATGTGATATGGTTAAAAACAATTCGTCATATTGTGTTGTATTGTTTTGTTTAGCGATTCTTTTAATTGTATAAAAGGTGAGAAAAATATGTTTAATTAAAAAAAGAATCTTAATTATCGGATCTTAAACAATAATTTACCCAGTTGAAAAATTGTAATCTGTCAAATAGAATTTTGAAGGTTATATTCCAATTTTCAAGTAACTATATATTTCTAATAATAAATTGTCAATTTAGAAAAGCTTTCAATAATAGACAGTGTATTTCAATTGTCATTTTATTGACACAATAACAATATCAATGGTATTTTTCTTATTTTCTAAGAATTGAAAATTTATTTCTTATTACAAAGTAAAAGTGAGTATACATTATAATTATCATTATAATACTTGACTTTTTACTTTACAGTTTTATATTCCTTTGTCTATTACTCTTCCTTGAAACACCAAATACGTGTTTATTTATAATAAAGAATAAAGATTTTTCCAAATATTCTTTATGCAATGTCATGTTTTTTTTTTCTTTTTTTCTAACGCACAGTTATATTTTAGTCATAGTAATTTTAACTTTCAATACGATTTATTGATATTTGCTAACGTTCTAAAATAAGATTTTGGCAAATGTTATAATTGTCTATATAATTAATATTTCGAATTGAAAAAATTGTTCATTTCTAGAAAATTTATTTCTAGAAATATTTTTTCCATAATTGGTTGACAATTGTAAAAATTAAAGTTTGGAAGAAATTTGAGAAAAAAATAAAATTTTCTTGTTTTTACATATTATTTTATTTATAAATGTTTATTAACTTAAAATTTTCTTTTTAAAGATTAACACCAAGTTGACACATGTGCAAAAACTCTTGAACCCCGGGGGTTGAAATGTGGATCAGCAGTCGTCGGGAAAACAATTCTATGGACGAGCTCTTTCAGGATCTTTATCAAGAATGCAAATTCGTTGCACCTGGAGCAAGGCTCTCTTATGCATTAAGAAATCGTCTTGAAAAATATAAAGGCGATATAAGACAGGATATTGTCTCGCGTATGAAAGATGGATGTGCACCATTATTTATTGCATGTAAAAGAGGACACGTTGAAATTGTCGAATATCTTATCACTGTGTGTCACGCTGATATTGAACAACGAGGAATGTATGAAGTTCCTGACGATAGATCAGTTCATTGTGTTACACCATTGTGGTGTGCCGCTGTTTCCGGTAAATTACGAGTTATAAAATGTTTAATTTCACATGGTGCCGATGTCAATGCAGTCTCCGACAGTGGATCAACACCTGTTCGTTCAGCCTGCTTTATGACTCATCTTGGTAATATTATTTTTTTCTTTATTTCCTTTGTTTCTTTTCTCTCTTTCTGCAATTTCAATTTATCTCAAGTTCTGAACGTTCAAATGAATAAAAAATTTGATTATCTTTTTTAATTTCAAATTTTGTTATTAAAATAAGTATTGCTTTCTATGTGTAAAAATAAATTTATAATTTTTTAATATACTATTTTTGTTTTTCATTGTTGTAGTAATTTTTTTTTTTCAATTTATAGACAAAAAAATTATTTCGTTCATTTGAACGTTTAGAACTTCAGACACATTTATTTGATAACAAAATTACATAAAGTTAATGAAATTTTTTTTGTCTAAAAGAAAAATGACGTTTTTAATCAAGTTTTGTTAATTAGCAATCGTGTAAATTAAAGTTATCTTCCGAAACGTTCAATGGCATTTAATTGTTTCAATGGCACTTTAAGGCTACACCCTTAGCCAAATATTTACATGCCAAGGCAGGTCTAGGTCATTGTTCCCTATGCCAATGTTAAGATGTCGTAACAAATTTCTAAATTTAATTTAATTGAATTAAAATATTTTTGCAAATTTCTTTTTTCTTTTAATATTAGATTTTGGATTATATGACTTTTTGCGACTTTTTTTTTTTCTAAAATACGACTTTTTCCGATTTATTTTAATAAGTTTCAATTTTTTTTTTTACATTTTTTACAAAATTTTTAAAAATGCTTCATTTTAGTTATATTTTATTTAAATCTTTTTCAATTATTTAATAAAATTTTTAATTAAAATTCTTCCCTAAATAAATTATTTTCAATAATTTCAATGAAATTCATGACAAAATTCAATTATCTTAAACCATTTTTCAATTAAAAATATGATATACAATAATTGTTTGCATTTAAAAACAAAACTCAAACAAAATTTAACAAATAGAGTAACTGCACCAGTGGTGGATCAATTAAGCCTACTAAATTTATTATTTTGACTTTAAAGGTGTACAGATTTTTTTCATATGAAAAATATAGGGTAATCTTTACAATAGTATGAATTAACAAGTCTTCAAGGACACTATCGTGTAGTTTTCGATCTGCTTGTAACGTTTACACCCCCTCACACCCAAATTCAACAATAAAATGACATTGCTCCAGTCGTGGATCATTTACCCCTTTACACTACACAAAAATAACTTAATGATGTAAATTTTTTTCCAAAAGTATTCTATATGGAAAGAATTGATTACTTTCTAATCTAAAAATTAAAAAAATTTAGACTAAACCATTATTTTTTAAGATTTCATGTGAAAAAGCATAAAATCAATAGTTGTTGTATTGCTTTGTTTTCCTAAATATTTTCAAATGATTTTATTTCATAAAACTTATCTATACACCTCCCCTAAACGATTGAAACATTTAGTTCAATTAGAAATAGCTTATTTTAACCTTTTTAACGCTGTTGATCCACCATTGGTGCCTGATCCACCACTGGTGCATTTACCCTATTTCAATTCAAAATCACTAGAAATTCGATTATTTTAAAAAATTTCAATTTAAAATTTAATTATTTTTAAAATTTTCTATCTAAAACTTTCTGAATTTAATAATTTTAACTATAACTCTTTCGAAATTCAATTATTTTTAATAATTTTTAAAATATACTTCAAAAATTCAATTATATGGAGAAATTTTTCAATTTTTGTCTGTAATTTCTAATAAATTCTTCAGCAATAGAAATCATCGAAAATTTATGAGCCAAAAATTATTCTGAACGTTCAAATGAACGAAATATTTTTTTCAATCTATAAATTATTAAAAATTATGATGACAATGTAAAATAAAACAGTAAATTAAATAATTATTAAATTAATAACATCTTTTTAGGTATTTAAAACAATATTTTTTAATAAAATTCGTACTTAAAGAAGTTGCAAAAAAAAATTTCGTTCATTTGAACATTTAAAACTTTTGGCTCATGAAAATTTTAATCAAAAATCACTTGAAGTTTAATTATATTCAAAAATCTAAATTGTAAATCTCCGAAAATTCAATTATTTAAAAAAAAAGTTTAAAATTATTTAATAAATTATTTTCAATTCTGTAAAATTTAATTACATATTGTCTGAAATTTAACAAAATTTTATTTCGCTGAAATTTACAACGTTTATGATTAACGATTTAGAAGAAAAAATATTTTCTTATGCAAATTATTATGATTTTTTGTTTAAACAAAGTTTTATAACATTTTTCGACCAACAATTTTTAAAAGAAAATAATTTGAAGGAAAAAAAACGTATTTTTTTCCGGATGAAAATTATTTTTGTTTTCAATCGTTGATCATAATCGTTGTGAACTTTACCAACGTAAAAATTTTTGAAATTTAATTATTTCTAAAAAAAATAACTGTCGGAATTTGAAAAAAAAAACTACAGCAGTTTAAATGAAATATTTCAAAATTGTTGAGAATATTTTATTTAGTACGCGTATATCTGCAACATTTTATTGTTAAATTTATTTATTATTTATAAAATAAAGTTTTTTTTTTTAAACAGATATCGTTTCTTATTTGGTGGAAAATGGAGCCGATATTTTAATTGCGAATTATAATGGAGGCACTTGTTTGATAAATTCAGTGCAAAGTGTCGAATTGTGTAAATTTCTTTTAACACACGGAGCCGGTGTTAATGCAAGGGATATGCAAAATAAAACTGCTCTGCATTATTCAATTCAGGAGCATCGGTTCGAAACAACGAAACTTTTATTAGATTATCATGCAGATCCTTATTTAAAATCACGATATAATGATGATGCTTTACAAACTGCCTGCCTTAAAGGTGCAACACAGATATTCGACTACTTAGGTAAGTTCAAAATTCTAATATACATCAGATATAGAATTTATTTATTTTTTTCAACTATTGAAAAATATATTTGTCGATTTGAAAATCAATTTTTAAAATTTTTTTAATGAGCATTCGAACCACTTTTTAGTGACAATTATACATGCTAATTAGTAGGTGCCAGCTTCATTTAATTTAATCTACTTAAGGGCTTAGACCATTGTAGACTTCAAAAAAATTGAATTTAATCAAATGCTTTTTTTGTTATTAACAATTTTCTATCGATTTATTATTATTCTAAAAATTCAAATTTTGATTCAAATGTGTGACATTTTTTCAAAAAACTGGCTTTTTCAAAATCTTTTACAGATTTTTTTTTATTGAATCGTTGATATGTATTTATAATGATGTGATATTTTCTTTGAACACAGTGGAAAATGTTGCCTACTCACAGGAGAGATTAGCCGACGCTCATGAATTAATGGGTTCGACATTTTTCAATGATCACAATTATACGCAAACAGCATTGAATTATTGGCGTACTGCTATGAATATTAGAAACGATAATATGGTTGACGGTAAACCATTGCCAAAGAGGCCAATAATGCCAAAAAGAGATAATTTTCGTAATGCGACTGAATTTTCTACAATGGAAGAATTACAAACAGCAATGCTCGATTTGGATGCTATTCGAATTCAAAGTTTATTAATATGCGAACGAATTTTAGGTCCACATCATAAAGATACACTTTTTAGACTGATGTATAGAGGAGCCTCATATGCCGATGCTCTTCGGTATATAATATTCTCATTTTCATTCTTATTCTTTAATTAATAATTTATCATTTGTTAATTGTAATTAATTTTTTATTTAAGGTATCAGTATTGCATAGATTTGTGGAGAAGAGCACTGGAAATTCGAGTGGAGAAGGATTCTGTAAGTTTTTGTTTTTTACTTCTATTTTTTTTCTTGAATGATTAAAATAATATTAATACGAAATATATAATTTTTGAGTAATTTAAAAATTTGTTTTTAATTTATTTTTATGAAAAACTTTTTTTTTTAGTTAGAAATTTTTTTAAAAATAATTTTTGTTACTAAATTTATTTGTAAGTTCAATAATTTTATTCTAAATAAATTTATTTGCAATAATGTCTAAATATTTAATTTTCATTTCAGATATTATTTAGCGACACTTGTTTTACTGCTCAAGCTCTTGTTCGATTAATGGTCGATTTAAATGAGAAAATAGTAGAAATAGCATATCGTAATCGTGAAAAACAGGAGCCAAGATTTTGTGATGTAGTGGCAGTTTTTAAATTACTCACCGAACATCTTCCCGAAGCTAGATCTTTGTTAGAGGTTTGTCTTTTTTGCAAAAAATTAAAAAAAAAATTTGTTTTAAATTTTCTTTTTTTTGGAAATGATTGTCATTTATTTGAAATTTTTTTTTTAATTGAGATACAAAAATATTAATGAATAAAATGTTATTTTTTATTATTTTCTTTTTTAGAAACGACCGGTACATAAAAAGCAACGGGAGAGTTACGATCGCATTTTAAAGTGCGTTACTCATTTAATATATCTCCTATTGGAAACTGCACAATCGGATGATGAAAAAGTGGAAATGCGACAATTAGTACATAATTTAGTTAGGCAAAATCCAAGATGCGCTTCAACGGAAGATACACTTCTTCATCTTTGCGTCTCGAGAGTGAATACAATTCATTCGAATTATTTTACTACCGAAGAAATACAAGTAAATTAATTAAAAATTCTAATAATTCTTCTATATAATTCTCATTTAAAAATAAAAAATTGATTCAAATTAATTATAATTTTTTTTTTCAGGTAATTTTTCCACATGTGGAAGTGGTAAGATTACTTTTAAAATGTAGAGCGCACGTTAATGCAAGAAATGACACAAGATCAACACCTCTACATATTGCAAGCAAGCCGAACAATTTCCAAACCGAGGTAAATTTAATTCAGTTTTAAAATAATTTTTTTTTTCTAATTATTAAGGTAGCCACAAGTCAGGAAAATTTTAAGGAAAAAAAAATTTGGGAAATTGAAAAAATTGACAGAAAGAGTCAATTATATACTTCCGGTATATTCTGATCTTGAACTTTTTTCCAAAAATTTTTTGCAGTTCAAATTAGCACAAAATTGGCACAGAGATTATTTTTTTGAAAAAAAAAAATTGCGTTTTCTTGCACGCAAGAATTGTTGTTAGGGAAAATTTTTTAATTGCTGGGAAATATCAGTGAAATTAAAAAATTTATTCGTGTGGTAACCCTGATTTTGAAAATACATAATTATTAAATATTTTCTTAGAGTGAGTTTTCATTTTTTTTTTATCAAAAAGTTTTTATTTATAAAAATTGATTTCTTAAGATTGAAAAAAAAAATGATAAGAGAGATGAAATTAAAGATCATTTTATTCTTGTCGTAGATCGTAAAACTTCTTTTGGATTATGGGGCACATCTAGACACACCAAATAAAGCTGGCGAGACACCGGCACAACTAATAGCCTCAAATCCTTGTAACAACATAAGTTTGGTAAACTATACAACTTTACAATGTCACGCGGCTCAGACAATTTGTAAATATGGAATTCAATGCACCGAATTGCCCGTAACGTTATATGAATTCCTTAAGTTGCACCAAGAATAATTATTTTAAAATGCGCTCTTCTTCTTCTTCTTTTTTAATCATTAACCACATAAGTATTTGTGTATAATATTTATAGTACCTATATATATATTTCTAGTATTTCTAGAATTGCGTATTATTATCTTTTAGCGAAATCTATTTACCCGCATAAAAAAAAAACAAGAAATACTCGTATAGTTCGAATCATGAGTAATATTAATAACAACAATAATAGTAATAATAACAATAACAACAGGGATTTTAATAATTAACAACACAGCGCGTCCAAAATTTTAAGACTGGTCGTTGAAAGAATTTTTATGAGATATTCTCTTTTATTTTACAAAAACAAAAACAATATTCGTGATTGAGAGCATACATTGGCTCTTAAAATAAATGGTGCTTGATACTCCATTAATGGAGTTTCATTAAAAAAAACAGAATAATAATAATAATAATAATAATAATGGAAATAATATAACTTTAGTACAACTATTGTCATTGACGGACTGCATTGAAACATTAGATCTAAAAAGATCAGTGTGCGTGATATACCTAGTTAAATATATGAATTTAATTTTTCACGATTGTCATTCACGTGATTGTGGAATTTTTGCTTTTTTTTTACTTAATCTTGCCATATAAGAATAACGTGAAAATTTTGCAAACTCAAAGTGTTTAAAATTTAGAAATTAAAAAAATTAAGACTATATTTCAGATTCGCAGCGTAATTTTTTTTTGAAAAAAAATGTTACATTTTTGTAACTACGCTGCTAATTTTAGAAATGGTCTTTAAATGAAATTAAAATTTTTAATAAAAAAAAAAAAAAATATTGTTTATTTATTAAATTATAAATTTATTTTTATTTAATTGTTACGATTTAATGAGCACATCTTATTTGTTATTGTTTAAATGTCTTGTTCATTATTAAAAAAAAAATCGACGGTGCTTGTAAAAAAAAAAAAAAATGTTTTACCGTGAATTGTACAATTTTTTTTTTTTTTTGCTATGTTTATTATATAGCGTATGAATTAAAATCTCTTATTGAAGAGTATAAACTTGAAATAATTTTATTGTATAAGTTTGATTAATTTCTCTTATTAAGTAAAATTTGTTTAAAATTGAATTGTTTTTTCTTATCCATTATGAGAATAATTTCAAGTTTCTATCGTTATAAGTTGGATTATTAGAAAATAAAAAAAAAGAAACCCATTTGAAATAACATAATTTAGACATCGAAATGCGCGGGTAAAATTTGAAATTAGAAAAAAAAGTAATCAATTTTGCACTTAAAATTTAATAAAATTATAATAAAAAGCAAGAAAAAAAAGGGGTAATAAAAAAAAAGTTTGTTAAAAATTAGAAAATGTGTTTTCACTTCTCGGGGGCCTTAGAGCGAATCGGATTATTAGATTTGTGATAAAAATTTGTTTCTTTTTCACTTTTCGATATATAATATAGTATATATTGGTTTTCATAATAAAAATATGTGAATCTCATAATTTTTTAATATTGATAATACGTGTATTTTTCATGGCAGCCTAATTTATTATTTATTAATGAGAGAATATCATATTGCATATCTCACAATTCTTGAACTTTATATATACATATATGTAACCAGTGAATTAATATTAAAACGATAGATTATTATGAACTTTTATGAAATAGATATTAAATCATTAAGTGAATAGTTCCCCTCTTGTATACACATGGATTTCAAGTTTCATTGTACATGTATTAAAATTTAATAATGATTGTCTATGTAAGATAAGAAATAAAACATTTTCAAGTTAATTCACGCGTGTTTCATATTTTCTAACATACTTTTATATTTTTAATTTTTTAAGAAAGATATTTTTTTAAAAAATTAGTTGTTTTCAAATATTTTTTTAAGATAAACCATTATTAATATTTATTATTATAATCTATACTTATGATATTGATTAAAAATATATTCATATAATAAATATTTGTCAACTTTTTTAAAAATATTTTATTAAAAATTAGTTTTTTTATTTCTTAAATATATAAAAATATTTCCTTAAAACTAAAATATAAATGATATTTTCTATTTTTAGTTTTGTATATTATGCGTAAAAAAAAAATATGCAAAACTAGATTTTCAACAAAATATTTTTGAGCAAATTTGTCAATTAAAATGTCTTTGTAGATAGTAACATGAAAAAATTGAGAAAAATATAAAAAACCAATTTGATGAGTTAATAAATCCTTTACTTTTGGTGTACGAATCAATGACATGAATTTTCCAACCCATATTTGCATGAGTGAAAGAATTGTAATAAACAAAATCAGGCCATGAGGAATTTGGAGTTATTTCTAGAACACCGCTTTCTCCTGTAATAAAAAAGTAATAATTTTTCAATTATAATAATCAATTCAAACCACGGATTGTATAAATTTTTCAACAATTATTTTACAAAATAAAATTAAAAATTAATTAATTTATTATAAGGGTCAAACCATTATATTTCAACTAAAGTGGTCGCTGACTAATTTTTAAAAATTATAATACTTTGCAGGAATGATTTTGAAGTTATCAAGATCACGAAATGAAAAGAATTTTATTAAAAATTTAAATATTTATTGTAAAATATGAATTTAAAGTATATGAGGTGCTAAAAACTGTCAATTTTTTAGCCATTAGAAAATATGCAAAAAAACATAGAATTTAACATAAAAATAAAAAAAAATTATTGGAATTTACTAAGAATGAATAAATTTATCATTATCAATTGATATAATTATTTAAAGATGTGAAGTAATATATAAAATATGATTTCCAAGTGCACCTGTCAAATAACCTAATTTTGCGATTTTTATTCATTAATTATAAAAAATAGAAAACATTAAATTAAATAAAAACTTACCAAATATGAAGTTCTTGCCATAAACTTTTAGAATTTCTTTGCACTTTTCTTCTTTTCTATTCATAAGTATGAAAAATTTAAAAAATAAAATAGCTACTTTGTCTATTTTCACTATTTTTGAAAGTCAATAACTTTCTTGGAGAAAAATGAAAAAATATGGGGTTTCGAAAATTATTTAAATACACACTACATACACATTCACTGAAAATTTCGCATTGGTCCCGAAGCTATTTTCGAAGATAAAGTAAATTAAAAATTTCGTATTTTTTAGGCTATATTGACATGGGTTTTAAATCAATGTGAAGGTGGTTCACTGGTGACGACAAACTTCACATTGATTTAATACCTTTAAAACCCATGTCAATATAGCCTAAAAAATACGAAATTTTTAATCTACTTTATCTTCGAAAATAGCTTCGGGACCAATGCGAAATTTTCAGTGAATGTATATGTAGTGTGTATTTAAATAATTTTCGAAACCCCATATTTTTTCATTTTTCTCCAAGAAAGTTATTGACTTTCAAAAATAGTGAAAATAGACAAAGTAGCTATTTTATTTTTTAAATTTTTCATACTTATGAATAGAAAAGAAGAAAAGTGCAAAGAAATTCTAAAAGTTTATGGCAAGAACTTCATATTTGGTAAGTTTTTATTTAATTTAATGTTTTCTATTTTTTATAATTAATGAATAAAAATCGCAAAATTAGGTTATTTGACAGGTGCACTTGGAAATCATATTTTATATATTACTTCACATCTTTAAATAATTATATCAATTGATAATGATAAATTTATTCATTCTTAGTAAATTCCAATAATTTTTTTTTATTTTTATGTTAAATTCTATGTTTTTTTGCATATTTTCTAATGGCTAAAAAATTGACAGTTTTTAGCACCTCATATACTTTAAATTCATATTTTACAATAAATATTTAAATTTTTAATAAAATTCTTTTCATTTCGTGATCTTGATAACTTCAAAATCATTCCTGCAAAGTATTATAATTTTTAAAAATTAGTCAGCGACCACTTTAGTTGAAATATAATGGTTTGACCCATAATTAAAATCAAAATACGTAAATTACTTTATTTTTTAGTACAAACTGTAGCTTTTTCAAAATTAAATTATTCTAAAAATTTTAATCTAAAATGTCTCTGAAATTAATTATTTTTAATAATTTTATCAAGTTCTTCTAAAATTTAATTGTTTAAAATTTTTTAATAGAATTTTTCTGTTTCAGATTTTCATTATTAACAAACCTTTTTCACAATGATGAATTAACGTTCTGTTGAATTTTTTGAAACTAGGAAAATCGTCATCTAATCTTCTGTCCCGTTCATTGTGTTTGCTCAAGCATAATGGACCAACTGAAAATATATAATGTTTAATTTTTTGTAATTTTTTTTTTTTGTTTTTATAATTTTTCTCTGATTTCAGAAATGTTTTTAAAATCAATATAATCTTTCACCTGCAGTTGGTCGGGGTCTTCCTCTTCTTGTAAATTCAACGCCAGCAAGAACGCGAACTTTACTTTGTGCACTGTCACTTAATCTATCGTAACCGCCGTGTGGTTCGTCTGTTATTATAAGTGGATGATATAATTCGGCACTATGTGGATTATTACCACCGTGAACATTAAAACTATACGTCAATCCTCGACGTAAATATAATTCTGGTACCAATTGACCATTTATGTACCAAGCGAGACCCATTGTTGTTTGTCCTGTGATTGCTTGATAGCCCTTTTTACCTCCTGATGGACCAATAGTTGCTTTGAAACTTCTAATGCTTCGATCAACAATATCGGATTTTTCCCATGGCTCTCTGTTAAAAGATTTACCAAAAAAAAAATAAAAAATTTACTAATCTGATCTCTAATTCAAATCAACTTTTCTTCAAATTCAAACAAAACTGGAAGAAAATTTTGGAATTATTTTTTTTCAAAAAAAAAAAAAAAAAAAAAAAAAAAAATTGAGAGATTTGAATCAATTAATTTAAATAATGAAACAAAGAAGAAAAAATTTTGATATATTGCCTCAAATTTTGGTCATCTTCCGAGAAATCCATACAAGAATTGTAGGGCTCAGGGCGTCCGAGTTCTAATTTTAGACTTCGTTTTGGATAAATATCGTGAAAATTGGGCTCATTATTTTCATCAAGTCTTCCTAGAGCCCAAACAATGTAAACGGAACCATTACTTGGATAAGTCTTGTCACCTGAATCAGCTGCACAAATAAAATTAAATAATAGTAAGATATTTTAAATTATACTTTAATTAAATTTATATTTTTATAATCAGGGTTGCCACGGGTCAGGGAAATCATGAAAAAGTCAGGGAAAGTGAGATTGGTCAGGGAAAAGTCAGGGAATTTTATGAAAAGTACTGGAAAAATATGAAATTTCTAAAAATGCTACTAAAATTATAATTTTTGAAATTTTCAATTTGATCTTTTGCTTCTAAAAAAATTTAGAATTTCGGAAAATGTTTTAAATAATTAAATTTTCGAAGAATTTGATTATAAATAATTGAATTTCAGAAGATTTTTAATTAAAATTTTTAAAATAATTGAATTTGAAAAGTGTTTGATTTAAAATTTTTTAGAAATAATTGAATTTCAGGAGATTTTTAATTGATACTTTTATAAATTTGAATTAATAAATTTTTTTTTACAAATTTTAGACAATAATTGAATTTCAAGAGATTTATAATGAAAATTTTTGTAAATATTTTATAAGCTTTAAACAATAATAATTAAACTTTGGAGAATTTTGAATTGGAAAATATTTTAAATAATTGAATTTCAAAAATATTGCTTAAAAATTATTAAAATTAAATTATTCAACAATTTTAATTTTTTAGATAACAAATTTAGAAATAATTGTATTTTAGAAGAGTTCGAGTTAAAATTTTTGGGAATAATAATTGAATTTCTGGACAATATTAATTGAAACTTTCATTTTAAATTGGTGAAATTTTTTTTAAAGTCTTTTAGACAGTAAATGAATTTTAGTGAATTTTCAATTGACTACTGTTTTAAATTATGTAATTTTCGAAAAATTTGTTTTAAATTATTGAAAATAATTGATTTTGCAAACAATTCAATTTTAAAAAATAAAAAAAAAAAAAAGTCGAAAAAGTCGTGCAATCCGTGGTCTGTTATTGAAAACCTCTTGAAATATTTGTCATTAGGGTCAGGAAAAAAATTTTAATTTTGACTGTAAATCAGGGAAAATTTAGGGAAAAACAAAATAATATTTTTGTGTCAACTCTGATAATTTATATTAAATACTCTAATTTAATTATTTTAGAATTTTGTAAAAATACTTTAGAATATTTTTGTAATATTTAAAAGAAATTTTTATTTATTTTATTTTAAGTTTAATTATTTAGTAATGAGATCAAAAAATCTGCTCTAATTTAAAAAAAATTTGAAATAATTAAAAATTAGTGATAAAAATAGACTTACAAGAGATGAGGGTGCGTCGATATGAAATTTTCGTTAATCCATCTTCTCTTACAGCGGTAGTAAGTTGATTACTGTCTAAACCTCCAACAATATCATCTTTACAAACTCCTTTATATTGTCCAAGAACTTTTCCACACTGTAATATTTTAATTACAATAATATTAATTTATTTTTTTTTACTTATTAATAAATATTAATATTATTAAATTATTTTCAATTATTTAAAGCAATAACTTACGGGTGCTTTGGCAGTAATATTATAATCTATAGCGTATCCTCGAATATCATCTAAATAAACAACAGCAACGTCAGCGCCTTCCATTTGACTACGTTCATCAGATCCAGAAAGACCAAATGCCATATAATCATGATCGCCTAAAATTGGATTTTTTTTTTTTTTTTTTAATAAATTATTTTTAAAATAATACAATTTTTTAATTCTAATTCTTCCAATTACCTATTTGTCCAATCAGTCCAATTGTAATTTGAGGACCGAATATTTGCCACTTTACTTGAAAATTCTTATGAAGCTGAACGCAATTATCCATATTTTCAAATATATTTTTCGACGGTATATTCTGTGAATCGTAAACATAAGTACAAAAATTTTTTTAAAATAATTTTTAAATAATTTTTAAATAAATCAAATATAATAAAATTTAAAAAATTTATTCGATTCAAATATTAAACCATCCAAATTTCTATTCAATCTAAATTCCAATGAATTCTTATTTTTTTTAGTATAATTTAATATTATAATTTTTTTGTTCTAATTTTTATTAAGTCAAAAAAAAAATTTATTAAATCAAATTTTAGATAAATGTAAATTCAATTGATCGAAACTTAAAATTAACGAAATTTCAATATATCTAAAGATTAATATATTTGAGTTTCAAATTATCTGAATTTTAATTTATTCAAATTTGAATTGATTTAATAGGTTTCAAATTATTAGGATTTTAATTATTTTAAGATTCAAATATTACTATTAATTACACTTTCATAATATTATTATTATACCTATTTTTGATAAATAATTCACTTTTTTTACCCATTTTCAAAACAAAAAAAAAAAAAAAAATACTGTAATCCCTGTTCTAGTGACAAGAGTGAAATATAAAAAGAAAACGCCTTTTTCCAATTTCAAGTTATTAGATTTCTATTATAATTCATTAATTTCAATAAAAAAAAATTTAATCGAAAAAAATTGAAAAATGAACTTATTCTTGTGTTAAAAAAAACAAAAATTAAAAAATTGACAACCAATTTTTTATTATTATCATAAAAATTAAAAATTTTTATACCTTTACTAACGATGGAGGAATATTCAAACCATCCGGAATGATAACTGATCCAAAATTTGAACTCGTTTCAATATCAAAAATACTGAGCCAATCGACATTGAAAACAGTAAAATTCCCTGGTAATTGAATTATTATATCTTCACTCTTGTATTCACGCAAGGATTCCAAACTGCAATTAATCATTAATTTTTTTTTTCATTGAAATTAAAAAAATATATATTTCATGTTTTTTTTTTTTTTTTTTTTTGAAATATTTGCACTTACTAGCCATATTCATCAGGAACTTTATTGCCTTTACTGGTGGGTTGTGGTCCAACACCCACCCAAAAATAAGTATCTTTACCTTTTCCATCATACGTTAATTGAGGAATTTTTATTGTTTTTGCATCTAATATTTCAATTGCATCTGATGATACATTGTGTTTTCTTTTTGATAGCTGAAGTATTTTCTGAGGAAGTGGAGGATCAAATTCTTCCGGAATATGAACATCTCCAAATGTATTCTATTAAAAAACAAAAAATTAATTTAATAATTCATCAATTTTATTTCTTTTTTACAAAAATTAATTGAAAATTTTAATTAATAGTATCCTTAAATTACATAATTAAATTATATTAATTAATTAACTAATTAATTTATTATTATTATTATTATTATTTATTATTTGTCATAAAATACCTGACTATTTATGTCATAAACGGCAAACCATTTAATATCTCTGATTTTTTTATTATCAGGAAGTGTTAATGTGAATTCCCTGTTTGTGTATGGACCAAGTACATTCGTGCTAAAAAAAATAGATTTAAAAAAATTTTTTTCAAATTATAATTTATTAATTTTATTATTATATTATTTGCAGGTATTTTATATACTTACTGTCCCCATTCATCTGGAACAATAAATCCTGTGGGTCCAGGACGATTGGTGCTTCCAGCCCAAAAAAATGTATCAGCTCCATTTCCATCGTAAATGAAAGATTTAAAAAGTAACGTATACTCGTCAACAACGTAGACTTCACCTCCAACTTGATGATGGTAAGTATTTAATTTTCCCAAATATCTTCCATTATATGATTCGTCCTCATTCTCTTGTGCTAAAACTGAATTAGAAATTTAATAAATTAACAAAAATCTCAATTTCCTGATTTGAAAAAAAAATGTTAATTTAAAAAATTAATTAATTAATTAATAAAAATCAGTTATTAAAAAATAAATTAATAAAAATCGATTATTAAAAAAGTAATGAAAAAAATTAATTATAAAAATTAATTAAGAATAATAATTTTTAAAAATTAACTTAATAACAGATTTTTTCTTAATTGTTTGTCAATTCAAAAAAGTCATTTGGATAAAAAAAACTGTTTTCTTTATTTTGATCTTCAAAATGTTAATTACAATTTGAAATATAAAAAAAAATATCTACAAAAATGAAAAAAATATATTGGTTTAATTGTCAAATTTATTAGTAACATAAAAAAATTCCAACAATTGCTAAATAAAGAGAAATGGAAAAAAATCGAAAGGACCAAAAAAATTTTTTTCGTCTCAGAATGAAATGATTGGAATTTGATGTAAATAAAATATTGTCCCGTTAGTATACAGAAATACTCTTGACTCAGACACCATTCATAAAATTGCATTATATATCATTCTAAAATTATAAAATTTACAATTTATTAAATGAAAAAAAAAATTTTTTAAAGAAAATTATTTCCAGATTTTTACCTTTGGATATCAGAAGAAATGTCAAAAACGCTATCACAAGGTCAAAGGACCACAACATTTTCACTAAAAATTTCATCGCAGAATATCTGCAAGTCTTGATTGAGAATGTGAAACACTCATTGCGAAGTTATTTGAAAATTACATTGTCTTGTCGGAAGCAAAAAAGAAAAGAAAAAGAGAAAAAGAAAAAAAAGACGAAACTTTTACTGATACGAGTTAAGAATTCATCTGGTAGCAAATGTAAAATATTGGAAGAGAAAAGATTGATGAAACCTTGCTCTTGACAAAGAAAGAGCGAGAGATAGAAGTGAAAGAAGATAGTACTTGTTGGACGGATAGTACACAAAACTTTGGGCCTTATTTTAATGTTGGAAGCAATGGAACTGTACACGTCCTCCAAGAGAAAGAGAAAGTACAGTACGGGGGACTTAGTTCTAGTATATATATATATTTGTTGAGAAAAAGAAACTGTAAATTTTCTTATTTATATTCAGGCGGCAAGATACGATTTTCCTTAACTTATCACTTTTAATTTTTTTAATTTTTCTTTTTTCATTTTTTTCAATTCGAATTAGTTTATTTATCTGTAATTTTTTTCTGTTCTTAATTTCATATTTTTTTCGTATTTTTATTTATTTTCAAATTTATTGTAAATTTGTCTTATTTTATATTTTACTAGCAAAATTAAACGCGCGCCAAATTGATTATTTAATTGTTTGTTATAAAGAAATTAAAGATTAATATTATCAATAATAATTTAATTTATTAGAATATTATTACATATTAAATTATAATAATGAAAATTATATGTTTACAGGCCTCGGATTATACGAATTTTTTCAACTTTTTTCAAAAATACGACTTTTATCGACTTCTTTTAATAAAATGCGAAATTTTTTTTTACATTTGAAAAAAAATGTAAATAAAATACATTTTTCTAGTATAAAATGTAGATCTTCTTCAATTCAATTATTTAACAAATTTTGAACTAAAATGATTCTTCACTAAATTAATTATTTTTAATAATTTTAATGAAATACATCACAAATTCAATTATATCAAAATTATTTTTCAATTAAAATTTTTATGAAATTTAACAATTGTTTATAATTTAAAAAAAAATATCACAATAAAATTGCATTATTTTTTCAAAAATTTCAATTCAAAATAAACTAAAATTCAATTATTACCCGAAATTTTAATTCAAAATCAATTAAAAATTCAATAATTATCCAAAATATTCAATTTAAAATTTAATTATTTACCAAGTTTTCAATTTAAAATCAAATAAAATTCAATTATTTTCTAAAATTACTATTCAAAATTAATTATCCAAATTTTCAATCAAAAATGAACTTAAATTAAATTATTATCCAAAATTTCAATTCAAATTCAATTATTTCACAAAATTTCCAATTCAAAATGAACTGAAATTCAATTATTTTCCAAATTTAAAATCAAATAAAATTTCATTATTCTCAAAAATTTGAATTCAAAATTAATTGAATTTTCAATCATTTGAATTTAAAAGCATCTAAAATTTAATTATTTCTAAAATTTTCCATCAAAATTTTTTTTTTTTGAAATCTAAGAATTTCAATTATAACTCTAATGAAATTCAATTATTTTTAACTATTTTTTTTTTTTTTTTTTTTTTTTTTTATTTGCATAGAAAGAAGCCCACGGTCATAGACCATCAAAGGGCACTACAAAAAGATTTACAAACTTATAAAATACTTGTAATAACAAATTTTGCGAAGAAAAATATAACATTAAATACTATCATTATATAATGTTATAAAAAAGAAAAAAAAAACAAAAATAGAATAAAAAATAAAATAATAAATATTGGCTATCTGGCATTATATGCAAATTTAAAGTATACCAAGTAAAAAAAATAATATTGTAGCATTTACCGCAAAAAAATTAAATATATCTAGATTGCACAATGTTGCTCCTTTTATCTTATTGATTTAATATAATTTAATAGTATCCTTTTGAAGGATGAAAGCGACAAATTAAATAGATCTAAATCAGTCTCATCTCGAAGACACATAATATTAATGATATTGCAACCACTGTGTATTGGCGCATTAAAACCAATAGAAGACGCAGGCATTGGTAAAGAGAAAGGTTGATAATAGCGTGACTGCAATCGAGGAACTCTAAAATTGATGTACTCTAACAGACTTGAACACTTAATTTGATTATTTATGATTTTAAAAATGAAAATTGCCTGGTTCATCAAACGCCTCTCAGATAAAGTTAGAAAGTCAAATTTTTTACACAGTTCGATATAATTTGAACCACGCTGCGGATAAATTTGAGTTTTTCGAAATGTCAAGTACTTAATAATATTCTTGTTGATTTGTAAAACGCGCCAAGTTGACAATCTCAAATTGTGTTATAATCACGTGATCAAACGTGTTCATTTTTTTGGTACTGGCGTCTCGTCAGTCGTTGTCAGTTCTGATAAAACCTTTGTATTGAGATCTTCGCATCCATAAATAAATCAGTTTTATTCATATAAGTTAAATCCTATTTTTATCTCAAGTCCATTTTTATAACCTTAACGTAATTTCCACTCTCAATTCATAACAGGTTATGGGCCCAGAGTTCGCGATCGTAGGTTATATTTAAAATCGTATTGACTTGTTCGTGTTCGAAGTGAAACGTGGCGTGGTTTCAAAATGGCCGGTACGTATTCGACGCGAATAGAAACTTTAACGAAAGACAATTACGATACATGGAAGCTGCAAGTCGAAGCGCTTCTTGTTCGCAATGATACTTGGGAATATGTAATAGGTGAAAAGGTGAAACCCGAAGTAGTAGGTGATAATGCAGAGGCTTTAGCTGATGCTCGAGCGGCAGCGATAGCCTGGGACGCGGCGGATCGAAAAGCGCGTTCTGACTTGGTTTTAGCAATAAGTCCGTCAGAGCTAAAGCAGATAAAAAGTTGTGTTACCTCGAATCAAATGTGGCTAAAGTTACAAAGCATTTATCAATCTACAGGACCAGCGAGGAAAGGCAGACTTTTGAAGCAGTTGACGCTTCAAAAGATGTCGGACGACGGAGATGTTCGCGAACATATCAGATGTTTTTTCGATGCGGTAGATAAGCTTCAAGAAATGGACATTCAAATTCACGATGATTTGTTAAGTGTTTTATTGCTGTACAGTTTACCTTCATCATATGAAAATTTTCGTTGTGCAATAGAGTCGCGGGATGAGTACCCAACGCCGGAAATGCTAAAAATTAAAATTACGGAAGAAAGTGATGCAAGGTTAGCGAAAAACAAAGATGTGAATTCAAGTGCCATGTTTGTAAAGTCCAGTGAAAAGGGATATCAGAAAAAGGGGAAGTTCGGAAAGTCACGAAATGTTCCGAAGAATGCCGAATCTGGTAAAACAAATACCTTTCCCTACAAATGCCATAGATGTCACAAGGTTGGTCACAAGGCTGCAGATTGTGAGGAGGACATAAAGAAAATTCCTCATAAAGCAAATGCAGCAGAAGAATTAGTTTTTCTTGCAACTATCGAAAGTGAAAAAGTTTTCAACGTTGAAACTGTCATTCCAAATGTGAAATGGTGTCTTGACAGTGGGTGTACATCCCATATGGTGCGCGATGAAAACAAGTTTCTCAAGAAAGATCAAAGTAGTGATGTGAAGTTAAATTTGGCCAGCCACTCTTCTGTTCCCGTACTAGGAAAAGGAACTGTCGAAATTTCGGTTACTGATGGAAATGAAGAAAAGATTCTCCAGCTCGAAGACACCCTTCATGTACCTGATCTCAGAATGGATCTCATGTCTGTAGGGAAAATTGCAGACAAAGGTTACAGTGTTCTTTTTAAAAAGGAATGTGCAGTGGTACTAAACGACAATCAGGAAGTGAAAATGATCGCGGATAGAATGGGTGGTTTATATTATGTGAGAGAAATTTCTGAAGCTGCTAGTGTGTTAACTGAAAATCAGGCTGTACCAAAAATCGAGTTATGGCATCGAAGGTTAGGGCATTTAAACGAAAAGTGTCTTAAGAGTATTGTGAGTGAACAAAAGGCAAATGGAATTGACTTTAATACGAAGGATAAGCTTTCAGTGTGTGAACCGTGTTTAAAAGGAAAATTTTCGCGACTTCCTTTTCCAAAAACATTGCCTAAAAGCACAGAAATTCTTGAAATTGTGCACACTGATTTATGTGGACCGATGAAGGTTGAATCGCTTGGTGGTGCAAAGTATTTTATTACTTTTATCGATAATGCTACGCGGTGGTGTGAAATAAAGTTTTTAAAATCGAAAGGTGACGTTTTGAAAGCATTTAAAGACTTTAAATCTTCTGCGGAAAATCAAACTGAACGGAAAATCAAGTTTGTTCAATCGGATAACGGTCGCGAGTACTGTTCGAAAGAATTTGACGAGTTTCTCAGCAGTTGTGGAATAGTTCGTAGATTGACAGTAACATATACTCCGCAACAAAACGGTGTTGCTGAGCGGAAGAACCGCACTGTTGTCGAAGCAGCGAGATGCATGATGGCTGAGTGTAATCTGCCTCCATTTTTCTGGGCAGAAGCAATTGCAGTGGCTAATTATGTGCGAAACAGATGTCCTTCTGAGAGTCTTAATGGAAGGATTCCGTTTGAACTTTGGAAAGGAAGAGCTCCTGATTTGTCGCATCTTCGGACATTTGGCTGTCAAGTCTTCATCTACAACAAGAATCCTGCGAAAGGGAAACTGGAACCACGTGGAAAAGAGGGAGTCTTTATTGGATACTCGGATATTCAAAAGGGTTATCGAATTTGGATGCCACAGGAAAGAAAAGTGGAAGTGTCAAGAGATGTAGTTTTTGTGAATAAGTTTACAACGCAAGAAAAGCAAAGTGAATTTTTCTCGGAAGAAATTTTTGACAAGAAAAGTGAAAATAATCCTCGTGAACAAAATTGGATTGACATTGATCCCATTCGTCAACAAAGTGTGGTTGATGATCCGATTCATGAACAAAATCCTGCCGATTTTCCTGAAAACGATTATTCGTCTGAAGATGAAGATTTTCTGGGTTTTCAACAAAATCAAGAAAGAAGACTTCCTGGAAGACCTTCCAAAATAAAGACAGGTGAACGTGGAAGACCTAGAAAGAAATATAGCACTGTACGAATTGCATCGATTATTGAAAATGTTGAACCCTATGCGGGTGTTGCTGAAATCACTGTTCAAGAGGCACTCAATGGATGTGATGCAGATGAATGGAAGGCAGCAATAGAAACTGAATTCCAAGGATTGATCAAGAACAACACCTGGGAACTGTTGGATCGCCCGGAGAAGAAAAACATTATTGGCTGTAGGATCGTTTTAATCAACAAATACAACAATGATGGGAGTATCGAAAGAAGAAAAGCGCGTCTTGTTGCGAAGGGTTATTCGCAAAAACCTGGTGTTGATTTTAATGAAACTTTCGCGCCAGTAACACGCATAGGATCAATTCGACTTGTCATGGCAGTAGCTGTGGAAACCGGGCTCATCGTTCATCAAATTGACGTGGCGACAGCATTTCTGAACGGAGTTGTCGAAGAAGACATTTACATGGAGATGCCTGAAATGTTCGAGGAACTGCTACCAAAAATCGCAGCTAAGGAGCAAGGAGATTCTCTAAAAATGTTAAGTGAAATTCAAAAAGGAAACAAAGTGTGCAAGTTAAAAAGGGCGATTTATGGACTCAAGCAAGCGGGACATCAGTGGCACCAGAGACTTAAGGAAGTTTTTCAAAAGCTTGGCTTGAAACCAGTGAATGCTGATTGTTGTGTTTACATTTCCACGCGAGGAAAAGATTGTTTGATTGTAGTGACATATGTTGACGATATGTTATTGGCATCAAGAAGTTTAAACTGGATATCGGAATTCAAACAGGAACTGCGAAATTATTTCGAAATCAAAGATTTGGGAAATGTGACAAGATGTTTGGGTATGGAATTCAAACAAACGGAAAGTAGCATTGAAATTTCACAAAAGATCTACATTCGAGAAATTCTTAAAAGATTCAATATGACAGATTCGAAACCAGTTTCAACACCAATTTCTCTTGGAACGAAATTGATCAAATCGGAAGAGTGTGGTGAAAATCAAAACAGTTTTCCATTTCGAGAGTTAGTCGGAGCCTTAATGTATTTAGCCGTTTCAACAAGGCCAGATATCGCGTACAGTGTAAATTGGTTGAGCCAATTTAATAACTCTTTCGGTAAAGAGCATTGGATCGCAGCAAAACGAATCCTGCGATATCTACAAGGAACGATGGATTTAGGGTTGAAATTTGAGAAGACAGAGGAATCTCTAAAGGGCTATGCTGATGCTGACTGGGGAAATTGCCCGGTAGATGGAAGATCTTACACTGGCTACGTTTTCACATTGGCAAATGCTTCCATTTCCTGGGAGGCCAGAAAGCAACGGTCTGTGGCCTTATCTAGCACGCAGGCTGAGTATATGGCGATGTCAGAGGCCACCAAAGAAGCTATATTCTTAAAGAATTTTCTGAAAGAATTACATTTCGAAATGCCTAATCCTATAAAAATTTTCAATGATAACCAAGGGGCACATCTTCTAGCCAAAAACCCAGTTTTTCACAACAGGACAAAACACATTGCCTTGAGGCATCATTTTGTACGAGAAGCACTCAGTGATGGATTCATTGATTTGGAATACCTGCAGACAAGTGAAATGATAGCTGATGTCTTAACCAAGGGCTTACCTGGACCTCTTCATCGAAAGTGCATTAATGGACTCGGACTTGTGCAAATAAAATAAAAGTGTCGGGTTTTTTTTTTTTTCTTTTTAAATGTACATTCAGGGAGGGAACACAATTTTTCGATTGAGGGGAAGTGTTGATTTGTAAAACGCGCCAAGTTGACAATCTCAAATTGTGTTATAATCACGTGATCAAACGTGTTCATTTTTTTGGTACTGGCGTCTCGTCAGTCGTTGTCAGTTCTGATAAAACCTTTGTATTGAGATCTTCGCATCCATAAATAAATCAGTTTTATTCATATAAGTTAAATCCTATTTTTATCTCAAGTCCATTTTTATAACCTTAACGTAATTTCCACTCTCAATTCATAACAATTCTTTATTTTATTCTTTATTTTTCAATTAAAAATGTTTTTCAAATTATTGTATTTTGTCCGCATTTTCTAATAAATTTTTAGTGAAATCATCTAAAATTTTAATTACAAAACACTTAAAGTTTCAATTAATTTCAAAAATCTGAATTTTAAATCTTTGAAAATTCAATTAAATTTAAAAAATGTTTTCCAAAAATTGTTTGATAAATTTTTTTTAGTTCTGTAAAATTTAATAATTGTTTGAAAATTAACAAAATCTTTTGAAATTTAATTATTTCTAAAAATTTCAACTTTAACCCTTCGAAAAGGATTATTATTAAAAAAAATTTTTATTTAAAAATCTGTAAAATATTTTTGTTAAAATAAAAAACAAATCCACTTTTTTTGGAATATAAATCGACTAAAACGACTTTTTGTGTCTTTAAGTTGATTCGAGGCCTGTATTTTTATAATTAATATTTAATAGGTATTCGTTGGCCTCTGGTACCTTAAAAATTAATTTTTAAAAATAATTTTTTTTCAAATTACTATCTTGTACGAAATTTCCTGGCGCATCTTTTTTCTCATCATAAATTTTTTGTATTTGTATACAATTTTTGAATCAATATACAACTTTAAAAAAAATTTCGTTCGTAAACGTTGTGTACTTCAGCTTCGTGAATTAAATTTTCGAATTTGGAATTTGAAAGAAACTTATTCCGAAATTTGGAAACACAATTATACAACTTTGGCAAAAATGAGAAAAAGAATTGTCAAAATTTGACACGTCATAAGATTACTATTCAAAAAAACACGTGAAATCAGAAAAGGCCAACTTCAAGTTAGGATAGAAGGACAGACCAAGCATTTTATTATTATATAATTATTTTTTTTTTACTTCATTTCATTTATTTTTTTTTATCTCTTTTATCTGAAAATTTGTTTATATTCAAATTTTTCCACTTATTTAATTAGATATTATTTAATATTAAAAACCGCTGCCAAATTATAGTAATAAATAAAAAAGTAAATTAATAAAATATTAATATAAATATCAAATAGGTATTAATCAATATTAAATATTAATTACAAATATAAATTTTTAAGAATTTTTTCACTTTTACTTTTTTTATCTCTTTTATCTGAAAAATTTTTTTGCATTCAAGTTTTTCCAATTTAGAAATAGATTTTTTTTAGAATCTTTTTTACTTTTACTTTTTTTTATTTTTTTCATCTGAAAACATTTTTAAATTAAATTTTATCCAAATTATTTAATTAAATATTCAAATATAAATTATAAAAGAATTAAAGATTTAATAAAATTTAAAAAAAAGAAATTAAAATAAATTGTTATAATGTTAATGTTATTATGTTTAAAAAGGAAAAATTGAAGAAATGGTTTAATTATAATATTGAAACTGAACTATTTTAAAAAGTAAATTCAAAATAGTTTCTATTTTCACATCATTAGAATAGAAATCAATGAGAACTGTTTGATCAATCAGTTTCGCTCAGTGCGCACTTTAAAAAGGATCACGAATAAGAATAAAATTATTTTCAAAAAAAGTGTACAAACAATTTTTTTTTTTCAATTTTAAAATGTAGAATAATTAAAAATTAATATTTATTTTATTGTCATATTATTTTGAAACAAGAAATCGCTTTACGAATAAAATTTATTGTCATAATATTATTAATCGATATGAATTTAATTGAAACAAATGTAATTATTGAGGAAAAACCTGCAGAAGAAGAATTATTGAGACTTCTTCAATTTGCTTCAATAAGAAAAATAAGAGATCTCATTATTAGCTAGTAAATTGAGTGAATAATTTTATTTTTTTTCTAAATTAATTTTTAATTAGATAATAATAAAATAATTTGTTAATTACAGTCCATTCTTGAATTTACATTATCCAACCAAGGATCTAAGAACACCGTTGACAATAGCCATTGATCGTGGAGATTCACAAATTTTACAATTAATAATAGACAAAGTTCCCACCGATTTAGATTCTACTTTAACACAATCTTGTGGAAAATCAGCGCTAATGCATGCTTCGTATTTTTCCAGAAATTTGGAAATTCTTCAGATTTTACTCAAGAAAGGAGTTGATTTAAATAAAAAAGACTTGTGAGTAAAATACATTAAAAAAATTTTTTTTTTATTATTATTAATAATAACTATATTAATTTTCAAATAAATTTAAATCAGTATTAAATTGAAATAAAATAAAAATTTGTTCATTTAAATTTTAGACGAGGATGGAATTGTCTCTATTATGCAATAGTTGGAAGAAAAATAGATAATGTGGATTTTCTATTAAAATCTGGATTAAATGTAAATTCTTCGGACGTATTAGGAAGAACTCCTCTTATGATTTCAGGTAAAAGAAGCAAAAAAATTATTTTCATTAAAAAATTTAATATTTATTGTAAAATTATTTTATGTACTTTAAATTTTTATTAAATTATTTTAATAAAATAAAATTTTCGACAGTTTTTCTATCAACTTTTGATATTTTCATACTACTTTTGGATAATGGTGCTGATATTCATAAGCAGGACAATTTTGGATTTATTGCCATTGAATTGGCAATTTTAAGAAGAAATAGAGATTGTGTAATTACTCTCATGAAAAGAGGCAGTAATTTATATAAACATACTCCATATTCAAAAAATACTATTTTAAAATTAGCACAAGAACGTATGTCTGATATTCTTCCTGCTGTGAGATCCAATAATAATCAAAGTGATTTGAAAATTTTTTCTAAAACAAAAATATTAAATACATAACTTTAAAAAAAAAAATTAGTTAAAAATTCTTATTGTTTATATTTTTTTACATAATTAATTATTTATAATTACATATAATTAATGAGAATTCAATTAAAATTTTTATCCTTGAGACAATCATTAGTCCAGTTATCAAATTTATTAATCATTTCATTATTCATTGTTTCCTTCCATTGATTTATTTTTCCACTTCTCATAAATTTCCCTTCTTTTTCAATTAATTTAAATTTTCTATTAATTTCTACTGCCTCTTCATAATTTACAGCTGGATTATTTTTCATATTAGTGAAACTCAAGTGTTTTTCGAGAATTTTTATTTTATTTTCACTAAGAGCATCTTTCTCGAGAAATTTTACTGGTTCTTTAATGATTGATTTCAAATCCTGAGGTGAAAGAAATTTTTTTTTATTATTATTATTTTCATAATGTAAATTTTAAAAATTATGATTTTTGGCATTTTATTCTTTTTTGGAGGGGTTTTTTTTTTGGACATAATTTAAAAATACAGTACTTTCTCTTGAAAAAAATACTTTTTTTATCGAAACAGTGAGGAATAAAATATATTTTTAAATAAAAAAAAATTATGACAAAAAATCCGAAATCATTTGATTTTTCATATAAACTTACAGCTTTCATGTTTTCGTATTTTAAAAACAATATATTGGACCAATGTTTTTTTTCCCAAAATCCAATAACATGATCCCAAAATGGTCCAAAGCAAACTGAAAATCGAAAAATTTGAGTAAGAAACTATTTTTTTTAACAATAGAAAAAAATTTTTTTTTTTTATCTTTCATTTAATTTTCATTACCATACCTTTTCCTCCTAGAAATAAGACACAAAATTCTTCGAATGTACCAGAATATCCCTCGAGAAGTTGACAATGATGAAAATATGAGACACAAGTGTCTTTAACATTTCTGCTAATGTAGATAATTTTTGGTCTTTTCTCGCCAGTTTGAATTTGCCTTGGCAATAGATGAAATGGTAAATGAGTTTTGATAAATCTGGGACTTTGCATTTTTTCCACAAAACTAATGCTGTCCAAAACCAACTCTGGAAGTTTATTCATGCCAGGTGTTTTAGGAATAATTCTTGTGTAGTCAAATAATGATGTGTGTCTAAGAGAAAAAAAAATTTATTTAAAAAAATATTTATCATTTTTAAAATTCATGAAAAGAAAATATGTGACGCTCCACGAGAAAAGGGACCTAACGTGCTTTTGACTTAAGGTTCGCTTTTACCGTGCAATGACACAGTGAATGAACCTTAAGTCAAAAGCACGTTAGGTCCCTTTTCTCAAAGAATAGAATTTAATTTTTTGTTTTTTTTTCATGAAAAGATTTTTTTAAATCTATATATACTCTAAAAATGGAAATCGCTCGGGTAGTATTATTTTCCCTTTCTCGAAATCAAGATCATTGGCAATACACCAAATCATTTCTTGGGTCCAAGTAGTACCTGAAAAATTTACAGATTATTTTTTAAAATTTTATTTGTTGAAAAATAATTTTAAAATAAAAGAGCCTTTTTCAATTATATAATAATAATAATAATTTTTTTATTGAATTCTATTATTTTCTTTTTAAAGTTCCGGTTTTTTCTTGATTCGATGTTTTTTCAAAACTTTATCAAATACTATATATAAAATATATTTTAAAAAGAAATAAAACGTTATACAAAAAGTTAGCAATGACATTTTATTTTTTAAAAAAATAATTTTTGTGACAATTTGTGCTGCAAAAATTTTTGTTGAAAAAATAATACATAATTAGAACTCGAATTTAAAAAAAAAAAAGATTTTTTAGCTCAATAATGCCACTTGTATGTAATTAAAAATAAACAATTACAAAAAATAACAATTTTTTAAAAATAATTAAATTTTAAAATTCAAATAAACATTTTTTTTATTCAGAAATATTCAAAAATTATTGTTTTACAAAAATAAATTTTGTGCTGAATTATGTTGGTCGAATTTAAAAAGAAACAATTATAACATTTGCGAAAAATTGCAATTTTTCTAAATAATTCAATTTTAAAATTGAAAAAAAAAAAATATTTTACCTAAATATTCAAAAATTCTATTATTTTGAAAAAATAAAATGGCTTTGCTAACTTTTTGTTTTTAATAAAATTGCATCATACTTTCGAAGGAAATTATTATTTGAATTTATTTCAACTACATACCAGTTTTTGGAAAACTGCAAACCCAAATATCATCGTTGCGAATTTCAAAATTTTTAATTCTTTCAGCGAATTCCTGAAAATATTCTGGAAGACAAATTCCATCAATTGTAATATAACCAGTGCGAAATTCACTTGTAAATTTTTCACAAAGAAGTCGATCAAGTTCACTTTTTGAATCGAGAAAATTTGAAGTCATTTTTTAAAATATATAATAGTTATTTAGAATCAATTTTTTTTTTTATTTTGTAATTTTCGTTAATTGTAGAAACATAAGTCTTGCAGGAAAGAGAGTTTAAAACCCGCAATTAGCTTCTATAAAAAAAAATATATATATATATGTAACAATAATTCAGAAACTATTTTCCACTTTTGCAAATAAGAACACACTGATCTTTCGACAATATTAGAAAATCTTTATATACTCAATGATTTTCAAGGTGATACGTGATAGCCGGCCGGAAGTTTTTTGCCCTTATTTTTACAATAGAGCAAGGTCAAAAAAATTGATCTTTTTTTTTATAATTCACAGAAAATAAAAAAAAAAAGATCAACACAAAAATAATTAGATTAAATCAAACTATTCGCGAAGTTTATCTTTTTTTTTAAATCTTCAATCAATTTACGATTTTTCAATAAGTTTGAATTTTTTCGATTGAAACACTGAAGGTTAAACCGGAAAGTAAACATAAATTAAGTAATTACATAACATTACAAGAAATAGAATGACATTCTATACTTCCCGATCAAAAAAAAAAAAAATTGTATTTGAAGATTTTTTTCTAGGCTTTAAATAAAGTACTCCAATTCAATACAAATATTCTCTTTTATTCAATTGTATTTTGTTGCTTAGTGAAAAAAGAACACGAAAAAATTGCTAAATTTCTACAGTATAAAATGATTCATTCAGAGATTGAGAAACTTAAAATTAAATAAACTTTAATGTTTAAATTAGGTAAAAAAAAAATATTATTTTCTCAGGTACTAAACTACTGTCTTCTATTATTGAATATTTTTCAATTTCACATAATTATAAACTATGTACTACATTTTTTTTCTCTTAATATCAAATAATTACTCAATAAAGTCATTGAACAAATTCTATTCACCGGGTGATTTTAATTTATTATTTCAAAAAAAAAAAAAAAAAAAAAAAAAAATTGCTTGCAAATATTCTACAGAAAAAAATTATTGAAAATATAAATCTAAATTGACAAAATTTGTAAAATACTCGTAAATAGAGAGAACATTTTTTTTTTTTTTAATACTTGGAATTCGATTTTTCGAATTTTATAATCTCATACAAATTGTACTCTTTTTTCTTTTTAATATCTTTGAACTTGGAGGTTCATAAACAAATTCTAATCTTCTATGTACATTATAATTTGCGAAGTGAAATCTCGCCAATACTTGTAACTATAATTATACTCCAGTTGATAATAATACAGATCATGGAGATAATTTAAAGGTGTTTTGCGTATTGTTCAAAGTCACTGGTCCGATATTTATACATAAAGATTATTTTAACAGCGTGTAATTGACCAGGAAATTGATTAGTCATTTTTTTTTTCATTCTATAAACATACTATATTCTTGGAATAATCTCCTAAAGACTTTCTTTTTTGCAGATAATACTAATTGTTTAGAAGAGATTTTTTTTTCAAACATTAAATACTTTATAAAAATAGTCAAAATTACACAGGCAATGACGAATACATCGAATTTGAAAAATTTTTGTATAATAAATAAATTCCGAATAATTCGTCGTTGCAAATAAAATTTTGTTCACTCAAGGCATTTTTTTCTAGAATATATATAATATATAATAAATATTTATACTACTACTTCTACTACTACTACTACTAGTATTAAAGATTTGAAATAACGCTTACACTTTGCGACAAATCTACTTGGCCCTGTAAAACTTTTTGTTGCAGTTTTTTACCATATATTTTGGCCATCAAATTATTGCGTCGAAATTCTTCTTGTTTCTCCAGTTGTCTTCGTTTTGAACGTACTTCACTTAGCCTCATGTATCTTCTACGTAATCTTTCTTTCATATCTGCCGTCGTCAGTTTCCTTTGTACATGACCTGAGGAATTGATTTTTTTTTTTATTAATACAAATTTCAATTCAGTAAAGTATTTAAGATAATAATTCTTTTATTATTACATTTTCAGACCTCGGATTGACTTTAAGGCGCAAAAAAAGTTCTTTTTAGTCGATTTACATTCCAAAACAAAGTCGAAAGAGTCGATTTTTTTTAATTTTAATTAAATTTAATTAGTTATAAGTAATTTACTTTAAATAATTAATGTTATTAGATATTAAATTCATTCTATTAATTCTGTAATGAGAATAATTCTATAAAAATATTATCAAGAAAATTTATTTCGTATATTTCAGAATCGAAGATGTAAATTTAAAAAATTTTAATTAAGCAGAACAAATTTCTAAAAAAAAATAAATTCTGACAACAATTCAATTTTAGAGTTTTTATTTAAAATTTTTTAAAATAATGGAATGTTTAAAAAAATATTAAAAATTATTAAAAATAATTCAACTTTGAAATATTGATATTTTTTTTATTAAATAATTTTAGATAACATTTTTTAAAAAATTTACAATTCAGATTTTTGAAATTAATTAAACTTCAAGTAATTTTTAACTGAAATTTTTGGTGATGAAGAATTTATTAGAAATTACAGACAAAAATTGAATTTCAAAAGTTTTCAATTGAAAAATGCTTTCAAATAATTGAATTTTTGAAGAATTTTATAAAAATCATTTAAAATTATTAAATTTTGGAATATTTACTGTTGACATTTTTAAAAATAATTAAATTTTAGAAGATTTTAAATTGAAATTTTTGAAAATAATTGAATTCAAGTGATTTTGAATTGAAATTTTTTGGTGTTTTCTGTTGCTGAAGAATTTATTAAAAATTAAAAACAAAAATTGAACTTTAAAATTCTCTAATTGAAAAATGCTTTCAGATAATTGAATTTTCAAAGAATATTATAAAAATAATTAAATTTCGAAAGAATTATAATTGTAATTATTAAATTTCAAAAAGTTTTAGATAGAAAATTTAAAAAAAAAATAAAATTTAAAAGATTTTAAATTGAAATTGTTGGTAATTTTATTTGATTGTTTTTTAAATTCTAAACAATTGTTGAATTTTATAAAATTTTTAATTGAAAAATAATTTAAAATAATTAAATTTGTGAAGAATTTCATTATTATTAAAAATAATTATTTTAAAGAAAAATGTTAGTTAAAAATTTGCTACATGATTGAAATAAATAAAATATGAAGAAGATCTGCATTGTTTACAAAAAAAAAATTCGTATTTTGTTTAAAAATTTTGTAAAAAAATGTAAAAAAAAGTCGAAAAAGTCGCATCTTATTTAAATAAGTCGAAAAAAGTCGTATTTTCGATAAAAAAAAAGTCATATAATCCGAGGTCTGATTTAATTTTGGTATGTACAATTTTTCATTTATAAGTAATAAAAAATTTTGTATATAATTAAAAAATTCAAAGTTTTCTAATTTTCCTACTTGTGGACTTTGTTGATTTTGTTGGTTTTAGAAGACTGGAAGAACTGGCCATGGCTAATAATTGTACACGTTTTTCTTTTTTCATTTCGCGTAGATGAGAAATTTCATTTAAATACTGTTGACGTGTCTCGATATTATCAAGAAAACGAGGCTTGTTCGATGCCAAACACTCCTGAAAAATATTATAATATTATGAATTTAAAAACAAAATTCATATTGTTCAAGAAAATTTAAAATCATGAAAGAAAAAAAAAGAAATTTAAATTATATTAAATAAAGTGTCGGTTTTTTTAAGCAAATGTTCTATAAAAAGAATAATTTTTTTTATAAAATAATAAAAAATAAAAACCAAAGGCTTACAAAAAAAAAATCAAAGTGAATTTATGATTTTATTATGAATTAAAATTTAATAAATAAATTAATTTCTTACTTGAAGTGTAATTTTCTTCTCCTTATTCTGTGTGAAATATTGTTTACTATCCTCACAGGAACAAGTTCCCGATCTAGCAGTAAATGAATTCGAAGACGACGCTTTTCCTAATCCCTTAATTTCCTCATTTTCCGATTTTGAAACATTTTTCTTGTCTTTATTTTCATCCATAAATGTTAATTCATAAGCCACGGATTTTGGATAATTAATTGTACAATCGCATTTTCGATTTTTTTGATATGTTTTACCACAAGTACGACAACATTTACAATTTTTCTCCCCACTTTTCAGTCTTTCATCATTTTTATTACTATATTCTCTTCGTGTACTATATTTTTGAACACTTAATCTTTCATCATTATCCTTTAATTTATTCGAACATACACAATCCTTTTCACATCTACATTTAAAATTATTTTGTTCAATAAATTGTCGAGATGATTTTTTCTCCTCATTTGTTAAATAATATGGTTGTCTCGTTTGTTCTTTACGTTGCAATAATTCCACTCGACATTCATAACCATTGGAAATTTCTTGTTTCTCCTTTTTCTCATCGCAACAATGTTGACAATTTGTTTTTTTTCCACTTTCACTATTTTCCAAATATTTCGCTTTTGTCTGACTTTGAAATGATGATCCATTTTCAGGATGAATTCCTTGATAAAATATCGATTCGGATTTATCGCTTGAATATGATTCACCTGACTGATGGTGAATTTTATTAATTTCACATTCATCACATCGAGAATGTAATTCAATTTTTCTACTACACGATATACAATAATGTTTTTTACATTTCATTGGTTTTTCATCGTCATCTGATTTGAATTGACATCGACAATTTTGACTACAGTCACAAATAAATTTCGATCTCGATGCATTTAAATGATTTTTCGTATCTTTTTGCTTGGAATTATTTTCATCATCCTCTTGATTACGTGGTAAATTTAAACGAGCAAAATCGGCACAAATATTATTTGTTGGACTCGATGTTAAAGGAATTGTAATCACTGGTCTTGTATTATTTTTTCTATAAAATGATGAATATTTTTTTTCATTCGAACATTTCTGACAAGTTTGATAAACCGGACAATTGGTTTGAAGACCAATGTTGACTAATTTTACCGGTTGATTTTGATATTCAATAGTGATTATTCCACTTGTTTTTGAATGTGCATTTGATATTTCAGTGGCAGTTTGAGTGAAACTATTTCGTTTTTTATTTTTATTGTGACATGATGCTAAATTACAATGAGATGACCAATTTTCCAATGAATTTGAGTCTAGGGAATTTGATTTTGTATTTTCATGAATGCAGTGTCTTGTTTTGTAAATTTTTTTCACACGTTCCAATTTTTTCGGTTGTTCTAATAATTTTTTTAAATTCGAAAGATGACTTATTTCGTTTGTTATCCAAATTAATTGATTCTTCTTTTCCATTTCGGCGTAACTGACAAGTTTCGAATCGGCTGAATCGGAATTACTGCATCGTCGTAATTCAAAATTTCTTTCGGAAATTGTTGTTGGTAATCGCCAATCATGATTGTTTGTCTCTTGTTCCTCCTCCTCATCATCATCCTCTTCTTCTTCTTCTTCATTAGTTGCACGATTTTGATCAGCCGGTGAACTATTACTGGTTGTTGTCTCACATTTTTTTTTCTTCATGAACATATTTTTCGATGTTATTTTTTTATAATTTCTCTGCGGCATAAAACACTCGGAACTTTCGCTTTTATTATGATCCGTCGGTGTATTTGTACTGCGATCACAATCATCGGCTCTTAAACCCATTCTTGCTTTTCTTCCATCCATTTCCGTTCTATCGGTATTGCGATCGAATTTTTCACTATTACTACTCTCATTTATCATTTCTTTTAAAGCACGTGTTACACTTTCCGTGGCTTTTTTTGTTTTTACTCTTTGAAATTTCCAATCGTCCGATGAATCGGTGGTATTTTGTTTTTTGGCGAGTGCTTGAATAATTTCGGCACGATATACTTTTTTACGTGCATCATCCGGATTCCATGGGACATTCTCCTCGAGATTGTGTTCAATTTTATCGTCTTTGTATTTGGCAGTAACGAGTCTTTTCACAACGTGATGTATTAGACGTTTTTTCACTGTTTTGTCACATTTGTTTGCGTCAACGAGACTTTTGAGAATATTAACACTTCGCTCTAGATCGCGAACCAAACTGTCCGATTCACCCCAAAGTTTCTCGTCAATACTTGAACTTGTATTCGGCATTGTCGAATTTGATCTTCCTGTACTGATCGAAGAAACATGACTCGCACCACTGCCATTGGGAACATTTTCATAAATATGACCTGGAAAATATTCAAAACTATTTGCACGACCTGGAACATTATCAATAGATTCAAGTTGTGGTGTTGCTGCCGATGAATCACTTTCCGTTTCTGTTGTACTTTGTGTTTCACCCTCGGTATTTGATTTTAATTCATTTCGTTTTAGTGGCACTTTATAGGTGTTTTGGGAATTTTTCAAAATTGATTGCAATTTTTTATTTAAACTTGTCCCTCTCTTTGGTAACGGTGGTTTCTCTTCATCGACAACTGAAACTTGAATACCCACTGATTCTTGAGAACAATTTTTCAATGTTGTTTGAATTAATTTATCGCAAGTTATTGGTTTATTAACAACCGTCGCTATGGATGATGTGGAATTGAATATTAATCGTGGTAGCGCTTTATTTTTATCACCAGCGTGAAGATTTAAATCACTTTGACTTCTTTTTAAAGGCACTTTTGCACCTGGCATTGCAATAATATTCATGGAACTACTTTTTTTTAATGGTGACAATTGAAAATTTATAGGATTTTGTTTACGTGATTTCACCGGTGAACCTAGGGGCATTTTAAATAATCCCGAGGTTTTTGGTGTTTCACAAATTGATTCAATGGAAATTTGAGGATTTTCTTTTGTTTTTTTTTTCTCATCGGATTTAATATCATTACCGGTTATCACTCCGGGTAAATGATTTTTGACAATTGGTGTTATTTCAATTTCACTCTCGGAACCAGAAATATTTTCAACAATTGCCGTTGAATTTGCATCGGGTTTCATCATCATCATCATCATTGATTTTGATGATTGTCTGCCTGATTGTATTTTACCGGATTCAGTTGTACCTTCGGGATCGAGTCTCAATGCTGCTGAACAACCTCTTGCCAATGCCATTCTTTCAATTGTACTTAATTTTTTATTATCTTGCTTATTATTTGGTGTGTTGGGAAAATAGCCAACGTCCGCTCCACTATCCCACTCTAGGGGTTTATGGGATGTGACACTTGACGTTGGCGATGGAACTTTTCGCTCTATGATGTCTGGTGGTGTTTCTTGACATTCATTTCTTTCTTCGAGAATTGTTTCCGGTGTAATTCGATTTATATCGTGTGAAGGTGGAGGAGGAGGAGGTGATGATGATGTTGATGATTGTGGATCTGCTAGGGGACGAACGTACATTCCAGATGTAGCATCGTTTCCTGATGATTGACCAATGAGTGGAGGTCTCACCCATCGACGTCTTTCTTTTGGAACACAAGATTTTAAATTAAAATCTTTTGTTTGTAAATTGTCGCCACTCAATTTTGGATTTATTTCATAAAGACTGTAATAGTATTTTATTTCTTCAGAAGTTGCACTTGAACCAGGCACTGAGAAATATTGTTCCAAATTTGTGTTGTGTGAGTATTTGCGATAATATTCCATTACCTGCGAAAATTTACATATTTTCAGATTAATTTATTCTTTAAGAAAAATTATTACTAATTATTTATTATGAAAGTTTTGAACGTTCAAATGAACGCAGAAACAATGAATGATCGATTAAATTCATTTTGCTATAATTTAATATTATTATTATTTAATAAATGTTGAAATTTTAAAACAATAAAAATGTTTAAAACAAAATCTTTTTAAAAAATATTTGCTATATGTCGACAAAGAGTATTAAAAAATTATCAACTATATATTTCGTGTACATAAAAAAATCAATAAAACATATTTTTTGATAATGAAAAATATTAATAAATTATTATTACATTCATTTTGAGACAAAATTTGAAAATAGTTTAGTTACGTGCCACAACTGAAAGTAAATCATTGGCAATTAGCTTCAAAAGTTTCTTTTCTTCGTAAGTAAAATTAATATATAAATTTATATTTTTATCTACCGTAAAATGGGGTAAAGTCGGCGATTGTTATAAATTAATTTTTAAAATTTCTTTTTATCTTTTCTAAGAAAAAAAAATCCTATAAGGGTCAATCCATTATATTTCGACTGAAGTCGTCGCTGACTAATTTTTAAAAATTATAATACTTTGCAGGAATGATTTTGAAGTTATCAAGATCACGAAATGGAAAGAATTTTATTAAAATTTTAATTATTTATTGCAAAATATGAATTTAAAGTTTATGAGGTGCTGAAAACTGTCAATTTTTTAGCCGTTAGAAAATATGCAAAAAAAAACAGAATTTACCATAAAAATAAAAAAAAATTGTTGTAATTTACTAAGAATGAATAAATTTATCATTATCAATTGATATAATTATTTAAATATGTGAAATAATATATAAAATATGATTTTCAAGTTCGCCTGTCAAATAACCTAAATTTGCAAATTTCATCTATTAAATGTGAGAAAGAGAAGTCATTAAATTGAAAAAAACCTTACCAAATATAAAGTACCTGTGACTAACTTTTAGTTTTTCTTAGCACTTTTTTCCTTTTTTCTTCATAAATGTGAAATAAAAAGCAATAAAAATTGGCACTTTGCTTATTTTCACTATTTTCAAATGTAAATAACTTTCTTGGAGAAAACTGAAAAATTACAAAACTTGGGCAATATCTAATTGATCACTAACTACACACACTGGAAAAAAATTCGCTTTGGTCCCGAAGATACTTTTTGAGATAATTAAGTTTAAACTTTTCACAATTTTTATCAGGTTAATACATGTAGTTTTTTAAGGATGAAGTTAAGTTTTATTGGTTAAACATTTTGAACTAACTTCAATTTTATAAAAATTACATGCATTAACCTGATAAAAATTGTGAAAAATTTAAACATAATTATCTCAAAAAGTATCTTCGGGACCAAAGCGAATTTTTTTCCAGTGTGTGTAGTTAGTGATCAATTAGATATTGCCCAAGTTTTGTAATTTTTCAGTTTTCTCCAAGAAAGTTATTTACATTTGAAAATAGTGAAAATAAGCAAAGTTGCCAATTTTTATTGCTTTTTATTTCACATTTATGAAGAAAAAAGGAAAAAAGTGCTAAGAAAAACTAAAAGTTAGTCACAGGTACTTTATATTTGGTAAGGTTTTTTTCAATTTAATGACTTCTTTTTCTCACATTTTATAGATGAAATTTGCAAATTTAGGTTATTTGACAGGCGAACTTGAAAATCATATTTTATATATTATTTCACATATTTAAATAATTACATCAATTGATAATGATAAATTTATTCATTCTTAGTAAATTACAACAATTTTTTTATTTTTATGGTAAATTCCACGTATTTTTGCATATTTTCTAATGGCTAAAAAATTGACAGTTTTCAGCACCTCATATACTTTAAATTCATATTTTGCAATAAATAATTAAAATTTTAATAAAATTCTTTTCATTTCGTGATCTTGATAACTTCAAAATCATTCCTGCAAAGTATTATAATTTTTAAAAATTAGTCAGCGACGACTTCATTCGAAATATAATGGATTGACCCATAATTATGATTATTTTGGTATAAATGGAGGTCAAACATTACTTTGACATTTGTTTCATTCATATTCAGTGGATAATTTTAGTGAAATACGTGTTTTTATACAAATGTTCATTTTACATTTTCACTAAATAGTTTTGAAAACATGATTTGAGAGCTTTATTTAAATTTTTTTATGACAAATCCGATTGAACAACGTATTTCAAACATTCCTGGCATGATTTACCAAAAAGATAAATTGTCATAAAATAAATAAGAATTTAAAAAAACATTAATTTACAAATATTATTGAATTTGGGGGAAAAGTCGGCCACAGTAAAAAACTAAACAAAATTACATTATTATTCTTTTCTACTTGTTTCTAATATACAAAATGTGAAAAAAGAAATTTTCCTTCCAAATTAGAACGAAAACAGCAGAAAAAATGTATTATTTGTGTAATTTTACCAAAAAATATCATAAATCAATTTTAGCCTCAACGTTCTGGAGGTTAGACATTCATATAATGTAAAATGATATTAAATAATCGTATAATAATAATAATAATAATAATATAATCGTATAATCGTTTAATAATAATTAAATGATATTAATTAATCGTTATTAGATGTTCATTTTGACTTTTTCACATCGACTACTTCTAAAAATAGACTTTACTTAAGTAAACTAACATTCTTGGTTTGTCAATGACTATTTTTTAAATGATCGCCGACTTTACCCCGCACATTTCAGAGAAAAGTCGGCGACAATAAAAGGGCGTATAAAAGTTTTTCTAAAAAATAAATAAATCTTTTTATGTAATAATATTAAAGAAGAGGAGTGAAACTTTATATATTAAAAGTATTAAAGTTGTATTTTATGTTTTTTTCATATAGTTTTTTTTAAGAAAAACTTAAAAAAATCGCCGACTTTACCCCATTTTACGGTATATTAAAATAAAACATAATTTTATTTGTTCCCCAATATTATTTTATAACAATTTTTCATGCTTTAATTGTGTAATAAACAAATAACAAATGTAAGAAACTGATATAATTCTAAGAAATATTAAAAAAAAAAAAATTATGTTTAATGCATGTGAATGCAAAGATAAAAGCAAGCCAAGTCTTTATCGCATGTATTTTCTTTACTGAAATTTACATATTATATCTCTTTCGAAAATGTTAAATATTTTCACATATCTTATTTATTTTTAGTTGATAATTTCAAAGGTAAATATTTTTAAAAACAAAATTTTAAAATAGTAAAAATTCTAATCTCACGTTTATAAATGTACTCGACTTCCTTTTGATTTACTTCTAGTTATTATAAATTAGAAGTAAATTATAATTAAAATATATAAATATAATAATTCCAGGTCCACTTATAGGAAATCAATGAAAGAAATTACAGATTAAAAAAATTGAAAAATTTATATCAGCTCATAATGAATAACACATCAACAATATTTGCTCAAAATCAATCAAATTTTCAAATTCTTTCTGTTTGCAACTACATTTTGAATTTAAGTATTTTCTTATGCAACAAAGATTTAGTTAAATTCGATCAACAAAATTATACTGCTCATGTACCAAATATTCTCTTTGAATATCTTCATAAATCCAAAGATGAATCCGAAAAGAAACTACAACTACTTCGAGAAACAATGAAAAAAAGTGATTTTTATAAAAATGAAACACTATGCATTAAGTACGTTAATGAAACGTTTCATGATATCATCAGCAAGGATCCATTTTTCAAGAACATTGCTTGTTTCACTATGAAGAAAAATGATAAACTAATTTTAGAGGGAATTGAAAAAATTCTTAATGATATTTTGAAAATTTTCACAGAGCTGAAAAAAGACACTGAGATAGTTCATAGAAGAAAAAAGCGCGCAGATGATGAAACAAATGGAAATCCTTCAAAAAGAATGCGAATAGATAATGAATTAAATTCACAGCCAATACATGTTACCGATATTGACAATTCTGATTACCTTGCGACAATAAAAAATATTGTTTTATTTAAAAAAGAAGGTATTTCTTTTAGTATGCGAAATTACAGATTTAAGAAATTGATGTTCTCTTTGGCTTTAAATCAAAAAAAAAGTTTGGAATCAAATAATAGAATCAACGATTTATGGTATATCGAAACTACAAAGTCAAAAGCAGTAGTTAGTTTTTTGCTCAAATTGAAAGGAAAAAACTTTCATTTCAATGATATAACACTTTTGACAAAGCGTACTCCAGTTGATGAAAAAAGGACAGCATTACAGACAGAAATTCGTTATCATTTACATAATATTTCGTCTAATGGATTTGTAGATTTACATAAATTTTACTCTAAATTTATTGATGATTACATAACATTTCCCAACGTGTTCTTTCATGTAGACAATACTTTCCTTACTAAAAAAGTTCTAAATATTGAATTAACGATGAACATGGTGTGTCGTGTATGTAACTTTTTATACCCTAGTTACAATGAAGAAAATTTGAATAAAAGGATGTTATATATAAGAAGTGCTGCAGAGTTTATGACAATTAACGTACCATTACATACGATAGAATTATCACAGAAAATTTTGATGAATTACATTTTAAGAAAAGTTAGTTTACATATTGCTCCAAGTTATAATGATTTTGTCAAAGATTATTATGATCATATGACAATTCTTCCTAAATATAATGATTTTGAGATAATGAGAAATAGATACATTGATGATGTATTATTTAAGGATAAATTAGATGATATCAAATCATTAAATGAAGCAAAAATAAGAATCAATGATTTATATGATAACCATAACATAAATATAGAAGAAATATTTAATTTCTACACAAGTTCCTCACTTTATTATACTATGCGATTTGAAGATTATTATGTATTGTTTTTATATTCAAATTACAAAAATTTTGCAGAAAAGCACATAATAAAAGAAAGATTATTAGCAACATTTTATAGATTGGGACTTAAACAATCTTCAATAAAAAAAAAATTATTTTTTATGTTTCGCTATGAATTATTTGACGAGAATATATTAAAGAATTTAAAATCAAAAGTTAATATTACTGATTATTACTTTGTAAATCCAAAAATATTTTATGAAGATAAAAATTCAATATTAGAAGAATTTATAAATCATCCAATAAAGACATTTTCTAAAATGCCGACGATACTGCAAATTCAAATGTCAAATCAAGTGGGTTTAGCGAATGTTGATTTTCCTGGTTTATTTCCATTTAATGTAATAACAAGTTGCTTAAAGTTTGAAATAAATAATATCTATCAAATTTCAATGAATAAAACACGAGGATGGTATGTGGAAATGGTCCACTATAAAAATTTGGAGGATGAGAAAATATTGGTTTGCATGGCAAATGAACTCAATAAACTCTTATCCATGCCCATTAAATATTACTCGGATTTATGAATTTCTGATGCATATTACAATATTTTGGATTTACTTATGTTTTTACATCTATAAACTTCAGTATATAAATTCATATTTATTAAAAATAAGAAAAAGATTTAACTTATTTCATTGTACACAACAAAAAATTTATTCAAATAATAATGATTTGATTTAATTAAATTATTGACTTGTTTATTATCCATTATAAGGAGAAGGTCCGATGAAATTCCAACCTATCCATATTTTTAAAATTAAAAAAAAAAAAAAAAAAAAAAAAAAAAAAATTCTGGCCATTTTTTAGAAACATTATAATTTTTCAAAATCCATACTATTAATTATTAAGCATCATGAAAAAAGTCTACAAAAAAAATTGTCAATAAATAAACACTTATATATTATTAATTTTAAAAAAAATTCATAATTTAAATTTTTTGTTAAAAATAAAAAGAAGATCGATCAATTTTATAAATATTGGGAAAATGTAAACTTTATATATACATCAATCAATTTATTTTGATGTCAGAAATAAAATTCAAAAAAATATTTCTTAAAAAAATTGTTTATCATAAACGTTGTGAACTTCAGCATCGTAAAAAAAGAAGATAAAACTAAAATTATATAAATTTCGTAAATTTTAGTAAAAAATTTGCTATAATATCTTAAATCATTTTCAAACATTATTAATTATTAATAATAATTAAATAATTAATAAAATTAAATAATTAATAATATTGTTTATATAGATACAGACCTCGGATCGACTTTCAGTTACAAAAATTTGAATTAAGTAAAAAAGATATTAAAAAAAAAAAAATTGCAGTTCCTATTTTTTTATAAGTTTTTTAGGATGATTTTTTTTTGTTTATTACGAATTTATTAGATTTTTTTATTTACTAAATTATTATATATTAATAAAACAGTCAATTAAAAATTGCCTAATTATCTTTAAAATTGTCAGATTTAAACAGGCTTCAAAGATTCAAAAATCTATTTATAAAACAATATTTAGTATATTTTAAAAATTTTTTTGAGTTACAATAATTCTCAAAATTTCAATAATTATTTAAAACTATATTCTAAATTCTTTTATTATAATATTTTTTTGATTTTCACTTTTTGAGAACAAAAACCTGCTTTATTGTATTAAAAACATAATTTTGTATTTTTTAATTATAATTATTCTGTGTTATTATTATTCTCATATATATTATTCTCATTTTACACTATGAAACTCTATTTTCTTTACTTAAAGTCGTGCATTTTGAGTGATAAAATTTTACCAATTAATAAAATTATTTTTTAAATACATTTTTTTTAATGTAATAAAAAAAACTTACGTGCGTAAATCCTGTACCAAATTCAGGTTGTGATTACAGATTAAGCACAAAAGAAAAATAATTTTTTTTTTAAATCTACATAATAAAAGGTTTCAAAAAATTGAAATTCTCAAAACACAGGCCTCGGATCGACTTTAAGGCACAAAAAAAGTCGTTTTAGTCGATTTATATTCCAAAAAAAGACGAAAAAGTCGATTTTTTTATTTTAACAAAATTTAAATTCAGAATTGGTTAATCAATATTTTACTTTAAATAACTAATGTTATTAATTATTAAATTCATTTTATTAATTCTGTAATGAGAATAATTCTATAAAAATATCAAGAAAAGACAAATTTTCAAAATTTTATTTAAATAGGACAAATACCTAAAAAAAAATTCTTAAAGTTCCATTTTTATTATTTTTTCAAATCTGATTTAAGAAATTTATTCGAATTAAAAATTTTGTCATAGTTTTTAGTTTTGATGGTCAAAAAAAATTCAGGCAATACTTAATCAAGTTTTACAGATTTTTAAATAAACATTTTTTTTTAAAAAACAAATAATAATTTTGGAAGAGTTAAGTGTTAAAATTTTTAGAAATAATTGAATTTCAAAAGAGTTTGTTAATTTTAATAATTAAATTTTACAGAACTAAAAATAATTTATCATATAATTTTAAATAACATTTTTTAAAAGTAATTGAATTTTCAAAGATTTACAATTTAGATTTTTGGAAATTAATTCAACTTTAAGTGATTTTTAAATTTTTAATTTTTTTCTAATGATTTCACTAAAAAATTTATTAGAAAACATTTTAAGCGAAAAATGGTTTCAGATAGTTGAATTTTCGAATCATTAAAAATAATTGTATTTCAGGAGAATTATAATTGAAATTATTAAATTTCAAAGAAATTTTAGAAATAATTAAATTTTAGAAGCTTTTAAATTGAAATTTTTGAAAATAATTTAATTTCAAGTGATTTTGTATTACAAATTTTTGGTAATTTTATTTGCTAATTTTTTTTTTTTTAATTATAAACAAATATTAAATTTCATAAAAATTTTAATTGAAAAATAGTTTAAGATAACTGAATTTGTGAAGAATTTCATTAAAATTATTAAAAATAATTAATTTAGTGAAGAATTTTAGTTAAAAATTTGTTAAATAATTGAAACAAAGAAGATTTGAAGAAGATATGCATTGTATACTAAAAAAAAACGTATTTTGTTTTAAAATTTTGTAAAAAAAAAAGTCGAAAAAGTCGCATTTTATTAAAATAAGTCGAAAAAAGTCGTATAATCCGAGGCCTGAAAACAGTAAAGAGAGCATTACTCATAAGAAACAAAATTTTATTTACTTTGTATTAGAAAAAAATATCATTACCTGTGATGAAAGTGACCTGTTGACAATTCCAAAAGGTACTTTAGGTTGTGAGGTAGCATTCTCAAGGGGATGCCAGGAAGTAGATTCCACGATACGTTGTGACTGTTCATTTTGTTGACTACGATGACGACTAGGAATTTCTTCAGATGCTTCTAAATCTCGTAAACGACCCTCATAACTTGATTCCGAGTCGTATTCCATGTTTTGAGACGCAATTGACCCTCCAAGTCCTTTTTACATGTTTGACACACCTTAAATATGTAAAAAATTTCTACAAACTCTTTATCACGATTATTGAGATTCAATAAATTCACGCACATAACCAAACAAACACCGTTTCTTTATTGAGGGGGAATTTGGGCAAATTTATAAATTATTTTGAAAATATTGTCTCGAAAGAAATAATATATAGGTTATGACGCTATTCACTTTAATGCGCGCGAGGCGTAATTTCGATTATTTACCTGTCATGGAAATAAAATCGAATGAAATAAAGGATTTATTACTATACACGGAACATCATTTGATTCACTTTCACAATTGCAAATTTCTCATTTATTTGACAGTTATATGGGAAAAAGATTCAAATTGTTGTTTACATGTTGTAATAGATCCAGATGCGTGTAAACCTCGTAAAATGGCGACGGCGGGAAAATGCATAGTACGACAGATGTCACGTGACTCACACATACGCCTACTCATTCATTCATTCAATAATGTATTGGTGAAAATAGGTTATGTTCGAAATGTCAATGTCCTACTTGATAATTATAGTTGCAAAAAATAATAGAAAAATATACATTTTTTAAGAGAATATTGACTATTAAACATACGTTTATCATGTTTTTAATTCGAAGAGCTATTTTGTCAAAACAAAACTTACCTTTAAAGTTAATTCAACAAGAAATAATAAACTCCAAAAAAGTTGATGTAAGTTTTTTCACACGTGGTGTGAAAATTTGTCAACAAAGGTATTGTTCTTCGGAAGTTAAACAATCAACAGAAGATAAAGAGTGTAAAAAACATCCCTTGGCTGTGACAATAACAAAATTGAAATTGTCATTTACGTGTAAAAAGTGTTCTACAAGAAATGATAAATTAATTTCAAAATTAGGTTACGAAAAAGGTGTTGTTATAGTACGTTGTGATGGTTGTAAAAATAATCATCTCATTGCTGACAATTTAGGATGGTTTTTTGGAAAAAATGAAAAAACAAATATAGAATATATCCTTAAACAAAAAGGTGAAATAGTTCGTAGAATACCACACGATTCTCAGGGTTATATGGAATTTGTCACAAAGGAGATTTTAGAGGAATTTCAAATAGAACATAAATTAAATGAATCTTCATCAGAGAAAGAAAAATTATTATCACAAGACAATGAAAAACATCAGGAATCAGAGAGAGATACAAAACAGGAAGAAATTTCAAATAAAAATGAAGGAGATTTAAAATAATTTCTTTTTTTTTTTTTGACAATATAAAAATTTATTATAAAATTGTTTAAATAACATACAAAATATTCGCAGTGTAAATTCTCTTGTATATATATATATATTGATACGTAAGTAAAATATTCTATTGTAAAAACATTCATAAAAATAGTTTTATTTGATTTTTTGTTGAAATTGTTTTTTTTTTTTAGTTTCGAAAGATTTGAAGGTTATAATAAAATTTTGTCTTTAAAAAAATATCTGAAATTATTAATATATGTAGGATATGAATCAGAAAACGTGAATATTCAAGTGTTTTTCGATGCTGAAGTCCACAACGTTTATGATCATTAGAAAATAAATTATCTTTTAAAACTTAAAATTATAAAATAGATTTTTTAAATTAAAAAATTGAACTTTTTGTTTTGTTTTGTTTTCTCAAAAAACGGTTATAATTTTCAATTTATTATAAATTTATTAAATTATATGGTTTTTTTTACCGTTTTACAATGTTTCTTAAAAAAAAACGAAAATTCAATTTTTTAACCTAAAAATTGATTTTCTCAATAATGGCTATATGAAATATTTTGAATTATTTTTTTTTTGCAAAATGCTCAGTGTCCAGATTAAAGATTAAAAAAAATATTAATCATAAACGTGAACTTTAGCACTGTAGTGATTCGCAGTGTTTTAATTTTTGATTTATTTGCCCATTGATTAAAACAAAATCACTGGTTATGTAAAATAAAGATTTGAAATTAAAAAAAAAAGATATTACGAATAATTCAAATATCAATATTAACAATAAATAATAATTTTTTTTTTTAAATCTATACTGAATTCTGACAATGTTCACTAGTTTTTTCATTAAATCAAATATATGGCGATATCATTTGGCAAATGATAAAATTCTAGAAAATGCAATACAAATCTTGAGCGTTGTAACCTTTTTTTTTTTCTTATATTCTATAATAGTTTTGTTTAACTATCGTAAATATATTTATTATAAACAAATAGGCCTTAAGTTAAACATCACTATTTGATAATAATTGTTTTGAAATTTTTATTGTTTGGCTTTATTTTTTTTTTGACAATTTTCTATGTAGTATAAACAGCAATATATTTAACTGAATAATTAACAATTTATTTATTTAAATAAATTGTTAATAAAATTTTATAAAAATTTTCTTTTTTGGTAATAATAACAAACTTAAATTAATTTATAAAAACTTATTTTAAATAATTTGAAAAATAAAGAAAAAAACATTTAAAATTAACATTTGGTTTAAATTTCTTTTTTAAATTTTATATTAAAAAAAATTTAATTTTTAACTTTTTTTTCACTAGTTTATCATTCATTGATTTTAAATAATTATATAAAAGTGTGACCACAAAATCACTGGTCGTAAAATTTGCTGCTTTTACTACAAAGACGAATATTCCTAGAAATCATTCTTTGGTCGTTCCTGAAACCTATTCCAGTATTTTTCTATCTTAATAAAAATATATTTAAAACTTGTAGAATGTGATGTAATAATTTTCGCTTAAAATAGTAACTGGTATTTCAACTCGTCAAGAATATTATTTTCTTTTTTTTTTTTTTTTTTTTCTTTCAATGGAATAGTTTTCGTAAACTTCATGTCTATAACGCATTTTTCTTAATATTATGTAAGATGCGAAATTCTATATATAACAATTAACAACAATAAGAAATTTTACTAAGTACGCAAAGTGACTTTTAAAAAGTCACAGAATCAAATAGGATTTCGTAAAAATTTGGTTCATATCATCACTTAAAGTAATTGAGAGAAAGAGAGCTGAAGTTTTGTACAAGTAGCTCTTGACTATAATTTTTTTTTTTTTATAAAATGACAAAAACATTGTAACAGAGAACAATATTATAAAAATATAATTTCTATAACTTTTGAATAATTTTGTAAAAAAAGAAAGTTATATTGACTATTTTTAATGTAACTTTAAATTGCAAACGTTTGTTGCTATTTTAAATTTAATTTTGAATTCTTTTTTGTCAATTTGTTATTTCTATATAATAATAATAATAATTGCACAAAACTTCAAGTTCCTTTAAAATTACAGCACACATATATAATAAGGCACTAGAATTGATTTTTGATCAGTCATTTTTATATCGTTTTTGTATTAAAAACGCCAACGAAAAATGATTCTTCAAAACTTCATTTCCTGAGCTTAACTCTCCGTAAATAAAAAAAAAAAAAACTTAATGATAATTATAGTCTTGATAAATTTAAAGATTATAAAAAGTAAAGCTATGTATAGATAATATTATATTTGAAAATTCGATTAAAAATTCTCTAACTTTCGCTAGAAAATGAAATCAAATTATTGTCAAGATTAAGGTCAAAATTGATCATTATTTATACAACATTTGCTAATATAAATATTTAAAATTAAAAAAAGTGTAATTACTTTCATTTTAATTTTTGTCATTATTGAGTAATTATTCACATTTAATTTTAAACATTGAGTTAATCCTTTTGAATCTTACTTCACTGGAAAGTTATCACAAAAAATTTCACCAAAAATTAGTTAATTTTATAACTTGAAAATTTGTCTCGGATAAAAAATTGATTATTTTAAAAAATATTTATATTGGCAAAAATATTATTGGGAATATTTTTGTTCTCGTCTATATAGTACTGTCCAGTACAGTATTTCAATTTTTGAGAAATCGTATTGTTTATCAAAAAATTTAATTCGTTCTTCGCAATTCTGAGTTAAATTTAGAGTCTTTAAAAAAAAAAAATTTACGTCAAAATAGATTAAAAAAAAATCAAAGATAATATTCATAAGTTTTTCCATACTAATATCGAAAAAATATCTGGTAAAAAAAATTTTGAATCAAAATCTCACGTGGAATGCCCTATTTCTCTAATATTTATGCTTAAAAAATAGAATATTTATTTGCAAATAAAAATGAATTAAAAACTGATTTGATTTTAGAGTGATTGTAATAATGGAATTTTTTTGGACAAAAATTTTTCTCAGATGAAAGAAAGTGTAAAATTCACAAGGATTAACCCTTTTGTATTGATGACAAATAATGAACAAAATATTGTTTAAACTTAACTTTCAGAAATATTGCATATAAGAGTGAGTCCACATTAGAAATATCACAATTTGCAAGTGATTCTTCAACGTAGATGGAACTAGCGGGAATTATAGTTTAATATAAGAGCTATAGAATAAGTAAAAGGAATTTTCAAAATATTGAAAATTGTTCTTGTTAAACCGCTTTGAATTTTGATTTTATTTTTTTGCAATTTTTTAATTCTTTTAAACTTGGTCAATTTTTAACCGATTTTCCCAGTAGAGTAATTAATTTTTTTTTTAAATGTCATTTTCAATGTTTTATAAAAATGTGAATTGCATCCATCTAATAAATAAACGCTTTTTATTTTTTAAACTTATTTTAAAATTAATTTTTCACAGAATAAAAATTACTTGTAAACTAATTTTTTTTTTTTTTTTTTTTGAAAAATGCAAGTAATTTTTAATTTTATCAAACCGAAAACGGTCTTGTAAAATATAAAAAACTTGATTTTATTAATATTTTTCAAAGAAACTGAAATTTTTAATTTATTTAAATTAAATTTAAAAGTTAATTTTCTGACAAAAAAAATGTCCAATTTTCCTAATTTAGGACTTGGATTTACTTTAGAAAGAGAAAAAAGTCGTTTTAGTCGATTTTCATTACAAAAAAAAGTTACATTTCATAAAAATAAGTCAAAATAGTCGCATTCATTGAAAAAAGTCGAAAAAGTCGTGCAATCCGAGGCTTGTAATTTTTTGGTTCAAATTTGGATTTTTATTAAATATCTAATTATTTGAGTTTCAACATGAAATAGGGGAAATGAGTGAAAAAAAGAGGAAACACTGTAAATCCTGGACTTATTTTCTCCAGAAAATGATTCTCTACAATTTCACTCTTTCTTCTTTTATGAGAGTAGAGAAAAATGTAAAATTTTTTAAAGATCAGTAATTAACGTTTTCAAGTTGAAAAATTTCAAATTTAATATTTCAGAAACGAAGCGAAATTCGATTATTATCTTAATAATTCCATCATTTATAAGTAAAGAAACGAAGCTGAAGTACGTAATGTTTATGATAAACGATTTTTAAAGAAATAATATTTAAAAATGAAAAATTCTATAATTTTTTTGCCTAAAAAATATTTCTTGTATTTTTCATTAATCAACAAATTATAAAAAAAATATTTTTTAGACAACAAAAAATTGTAGAAATTTTTCATATTAAAAAATTATTTCTTTAAAAATCGTTTATCATAAACGTTGCGTACTTCGTGTAAAGAATAATTTATGTTTCTTGTAAATAATAAACTATAGTTTTACTAAGTTTCATTAAAGTCAGAGAACCACTTGCAGATTGTGATATTTATGACGCGGACTTACCCGTAATTAAAAAAAAAAAATGTTTAAAAACAAAGCTGTTTTTTTTTTGTTTCTAAAAACAGTGTTTTAAACTCTCTTAGGTTTTGAAACAATTGCATATTCAGTATCATTATAAAGTTTATACTCGGGTTCTGTGTTATTAGATGTTTTTTTTCTAATAACACCATAACCTAAATGACTATCATCAGCGAGTCTCACAGCGCACATTTCATTGACCATCTGGGTATAGTTTTCAACTAAATCATAATTATTTTGATTGGAATTATTTGTTGTATCGGATATTGTTTGAACAAGTGGCAGTGATCTAGGTACATTAATATTTGGCGTTCGATACGCAGGATTTGGATCTGATTTATGAATAGTTCCAAAATATTGAAGTTTATCATAATCAGAATCATCGGATTTCATTGGAAATGTATTGTGTATAATTGGTGATATTGGTGAATTGGCAGTGGAATTGTTTGTATCATTTGAATTTAATTTACTTCTTAATGAATTTTGTGATGAATTTAATGGAAGTGGTGTTACCATTTCGTAAGGTGAATCATCTTCTTTATTTGAATCACTTGATGATGCATTCAATCTTTCCATATGAGGGACCCTGTCAATTCCATGTGTTCTCCATGCGTCATTTCTCACTTCAACAAGATCGTAAGAGTGTTTTTCATTTTGTGAATTATTTGAACTTTCATTACCAATTGGATGTAATCGTCGATATTTCCCACGTGTTGATGTCTCGGGAAATTCGAGTTCAAGATGTTTTTTGTCAATGACACCAGTGAATATTGCCTTACGTGGTGGTTTCATTGGTTTTTGTTTTGGAATTGGTGGCGGTGGTTTAAATAATTGTGTTGAATCAATCGAAGACGATGTGGAATTGAGAAGTTTTTGTGATGATGATGATGTTGATAATTCAATGTCAATAAGATGACTCGAGCTATTTGGCGATGGTGGCAATGGTGAACGTGATCTTGCCTCCATTGACAGTGCAGCATGAAATTGTACATCATTGCATTCAATACTTGGACTAGTTTCGCCATTGAGCAATTTTTTCATATATTTCATTTTTGATTCAATACAGCGGAATATTTCCTGTTGATTTTTATGCTCAAGACGAAATGAACCGGCGCCTGATTCACATTTTCTACCCGCTTCAAATGTAAATGTTCCATCTCTATAGCCATATTTTCTTATAAATCTATAGGGCCAATTGAAAAGTAATGTTTCACCGTTTAATAATTTAATTTCAGCGGCGGCAACAATTAATGTATAATTTTTTGGTTCAAGACCACAATTCTTTGATGCATCGGTCTCGACAAGTTTAACGGAAAATATTCCCTCTCCACTTGTACAATATAAATCATTGTCCTCTTCGATTGTTTGACTTGAGGCATTGTCTTTAAATGCCACCGATTGAAATGCACTCATCCAATTTGTCATTTCACTTTCAGAGAAACAACCAAAATGATGAATACCAGATTTGGTGACAACCTGTTTGTAAAAAATCAATTATTTCATTCAATAATAACTGATGAAATTAAAAATTTTTATAATCAACGATTAAAAGTAATTATTTCTCACGTAGAGAATAATTGCTTACTTTGTTGACCGAGAAAAGTTTTCGAATTTTTTTTTTTTCTATCAAATGTGAATTCTATTTTAAAAAAAATTCGATATTTCATAAGTTTTAATGAAATTCTATTTAAAAATTTAATTATTTTCAATCAAATTTTATGAAATTTCAATTAATTGTAATTCTTTTAATTCAATATATTCAAAAATTAAATTATTTTCAAAAATATAATTTTAATTATTATTATTATTATTTAAAAAACTTAATTATTTCATACTTTTGAATTAGCTGAGTCGCCACAAAATTTTTATTATAATTTTCCCTGATTTCTAGACAATATTTTGTGTTCTTCCCTGACATTTTCGAATTTTGTCCTTTTTTTTTAATCAAATGTGAATAATATTTTTAAAAAATTGTGATAAATGAAAATACGATCAAATAAAAATTATGTTAAACAAACATTGTATAAAGAACAATTCAAATTCTTTAAAAAACTCAATCACATAATTTCAAAAGTTTTAATAATTATTTTTTTTTAAATTCAATTATTTTTAAAGCTTTCAATAAAATTTTACAAAATTTAAACAATTACTAAATTAATAATTACAAAATTATGGAAAATTATTATTATTATTATTATTATTATTATTAAATAATTACAAAATTATTTCTTTTTTAACACATTTATTTTAATTTCCACAAAATTTATTTATTTGTAAAAAAGTTATTTATTATAAATTTTTCAAAAATTTCATTATATTATTAAAAAAATTGATTGCTTCGAGTTATTAATTATTTCCAAATATTGAAATTAAATTTTTACAAAAAATTTGTACCTTATAACGTTTTTCATACTTTTAAATATTTTCCAAATTTTTCATTGAAAATCTTTTAAAATTCAATTGGTAAACTTCGAAAATTTACTTAATTATTTGCAAACATTTTTAATTAAAAATTCTTTAAAAGTAAATTATTGTTAAAAATTTGTAAACAAAATCTCCAGCAATTCTAATTTCAAATATTCTGAAAATGTCTGGAATTCTTATAAAAAACAAAATTTAGGAGTATGAATTTATAAAATGGATTTTACATCACATTTAATTTTTTGGATTTAAATGTTTCCTCTTAATTTTAAATGTTAACCGTTTACCTTAAATTGAGATTTTTATTGTATTTAAAACTATAAATGTTATTTTATATTTAAGTAATTCAAGGTTTTGTTTTAAAATTCAAAGTACATTTTCAAAACATTTCAAAAATTTTTCTTATACTTTTAAATATTTTCCAAATTTTTCATTGAAAATCTTTTAAAATTGCCTTCATTATGATATAGATATAGATTTGTTTAATGTATCTTTAGTTTCTTTTAAAAAGTTTATGATTAATCATATATTGTCCGAGCACTAATCATTACATCTAGCTTTAAATTCTTTTCTGTTTATTCATTTTTATTACACAGATCGTTACAAATTTTTTCTTTTTTTTGGTTATACTAATATTAATTACTCTGTATGCTTTTGATTGTAGTGCCCTTTAATGGTCGCTGACCGCGGGCTATATTATATGCAAATAAAAAAAAAAAAAAAAAATTCAATCTACAAAAAAAAAATTAAATTGCTAAACTTCGAAAATTTGCTTAATTAAACAAATTCTCCGAAATTTCAATTATTTGCAAAAATTTTTAATTAAAAATTCTCTAAAGTCAATTATTGTTAAAAATTTGTAAAAAAAAAATCTTGAGCAATTCTAATTTCAAATATTCTGAAAACTGTCTCGAATTTGTATAAAAAACAAGATTTAAGAGTATGAATTTACAAAAGAAAAAAAAAATTTACATCACATTTAATTCTTTGGTATTTGAATTTTTCCTTTTAATTTAAAATTTTAACCGTTAATTAAAAATAAAGATTTTTATAGTATTTAAAACTATAAATAATATTTTATAAAATTTTAGTAATTCAAGGTTTTGTTTTAAAAAATTCAAAGTATATTTTCAAGGTAAAAAAAAAATAAATTTAAAACTTGTGGCAAACCCTATTATAATTTGAATAAAAAAATATTTTTTCCTCTAAATCGTTGATCATAAACGTTATAAACTTCATTGACATAAATAATAGAAAAAAAAAATTGCAAAAATTTACTATATTTTTTTCAATAAAATAGAAAAAAAGTTTTTCACTTGAGTATTAATTAGAATAACAGAGACTTACAGTAAAAACATTGGGCTGATTACTTGGTGCAATTTTAACACATGCTTCCAATGTTATAATCCTTTGAGTCAATTGTGTCAATGCTTCATCTTGATTATCATATATTTCCAATCTATCAATTCCATAATTGCTAGCTCTGAATAATTGACAAAATTTTTTATGCCAACTTTTCTGTAAATGTTATATATATATATATATAGTTATAATATTAAAAAAATAATCAAATTTCTGAATTTCAAAACATAAATAAAAATAAAATGTTTAGAAAATAAAATGAATTCGTTTAAAAATATGTAATAGTTGAATGTAATCTAAAAACAATTGATAAAACAAAGCAAATGGTAAAATTGTTTTTCAGACAATTGTTGAATGTTTTATAGATAAAAGGTAAGCATTACTTTTGTATATAGCATAAAATCCCCATAATGTTATGCATATATATATACACATATATTCAATAAATATATTGCAAACTAACCTTGAGCTGGCCTAACATTCCTTGTGGTGGAAAAAGCAACATCCCTTGTTGGACGGGTTCTTCGACAATCATTTTTTTTTTTTAAAAAGACAAAAATAACAAGGGTTCAAGTGGAAATAATTTTAATTGTCACCTTATTGACAAAAATTAACTATTTTTTGTTACTTTCACTCTACCTTTTACTGTCACTATTTCTCTTTCTTCTTCTAACACATTTTCTTTTCTTTTTCTTTCGCTCTTAATAGATGTATATATGTATATATGATATTATGTGTTGACAGTTTTCAAACAGAAATAATATCAACTAATATTGATGAAATTTCAACCCATCGCAATCTCCATTAACGTGACAACTTGCATGAATCACTATATTAATCAAATTGGAACAAAATCAGATTGTTGCTACTGACGCGTCTTTTAATTACGTGGATTTTTTTTTAGTTTAAAAAAATAAACTATATACACCACATATTTTCTTCGAATTCCAACCTCACGGAACACGACGACGAATAACCTCTCGAAGTCTATATTACAATCTACAACATTTACCGCGCGAACATTGTCGATGATTAACGAATAATCGCGAGTTGCATCGCTGGTGTCGGTTACTTTTTTTTGAGAGGGAAATTTGAATTCAAGTACTACGTAAATGGAAATAGTGACTTTAAATTTTAAATATGACAAATATTTAAAACGAAAAAGAATGAATAAATAAAACTGAAATCAAATGAAATATAATATATTTGCCAAATAAATTTTTTTTTCTTAAATTAATTGTTTTCTGATAAATATTTTTTTATATTACTATTTATATGCAAAAAATTGTAATTAGTGATATAAATTAAATTTTATTTATTGTTTGACAATAGAAAAATTTATAGTTTTTTTTTTTACATTTAATTTTCCATGATAAATGAGAAATGTGATTGAATTTCGATCCGTTTATAATAAATTTAAGTAATGACCTTTTCAAATCCAGGTATTTGTTGGATTACTGGTTCAGTTGAAATTGATTGAGGTTGAAGTCACAGAAAAAAATATTGTTACCGTATAAAAATAATGAAATTCATTAATATAGTGATGTCAAGGTTTTTATTTGTCAGTGTAGAAGAAAGTCTTTTATAAGTAATTGTAAAACTTTTGTTCACATGACTCAAAAAATGATTTCTCTTCTATTTTTATTGTTTATTGTTGACATTGTTAACAGTTACAATGACTATCCATCGCTAATAACTTCAAATGCAACAATGGGTTTGTTTTGTTCTTTAAATATTTTCAATAAAATTTTTGTCATTTTCAAAGTTAATTAAAAAATTATTAATTTTAAAATTATATAGGGGTAAGTACACCAATTACGGCGAGATCATAAAAAATAACTATTATTACTATTATGTTTAATATAACTGCTGCAAAATGATTAAAAAAAAATTGTTTTGGGTCATTCCATTTTATTTCACCTATAGTCATTGCGGCCTAATTTTAGAAAAATTTGATATTTTGTAGGGTAAGTGCGTACTAATTACGGCGAGTGCACCAATAACGGCGCGTTCATAAAAAATAACTATTCTTACTATTATATTTAATATAACTGTTGCCAAATGATTAAAAAAAATTATTTCAATCTTTTTTTGATACAAATACTTATAAAGATGCACATTTAAACAATTATTAATTTAATTATTTGAGATCAAATTTTTTTTCCGCGCCGCAATTGAAACATTATTAAGATTTCCATTGGCTTCAATTTCGGCGGGCAAAGTATCTTCAAAATACACGTAATTTTGGTCACCGAAATTGATACACCGAAACTGATACTGATAAATGTCGAATTATCTATATTTCAAAGGTGTTTTGACTCGAATCGCGCCGTAATTAGTGCATTTACCCTAATTTTAAAATTAATAATTTCAATTCAATAACAATATTTGTCGAAAATAATTTTTTTTAATAATTATCTTTTAAAAATTATTTTCTTGTTAGATTACTTTTCTTTAAGTCAAAATATAATTTAAAAAAAGACATATTTTAGTTAAAATCAAAATTTCAAATTTAAAATAATAATTAGGTAAACAATTAAAAAAAAACTTGTCTAAAATTTTTGAAAATAATTTTTTTAGCTGTTATTGTAGAGAAAAATTTTCTAAAAGACGATGGTCATTACGAGAAAGTTGTGTCAAAAATTACAAATACAATAAATAATGTTATAAGTAAATGGATGAAAGTTGGTGGAATTGATGTAAAAGTTTATTCAATATCGAGTTTTACTCTTGGACGAGGTAATTTTTTATTATTATTTATAAGTAATAAAGAAATACAAACTATTTTAGTTATAATTATTTTTTAAAAAAATGTAAAAAAATATTTTTCAATTTTTAAAACAATATGAAAAATATATATATATATTTTTTAATATGAATTATTTCTATCGATTTCTTTTAATTTTTCTTAATTAAATACACCGTTTTCACAGATTTTACGATATTAATGTCAATTGCCACATGTCAATGGACATGGGTTTTATTTAAACAAGCAAGAAAAGAGAGACTCGTACATATTGCTGTAACAGGTACGAAATATGTATATATGTTCCACCTCCAGCGGGCCAATTCTTCTAAATCTTGAATTTTTGAGGTTATGTTCGTATTTTAGCTCTGACAATGAGATACAGATATTTGAATTTTACGTTATATGACTTAAAAATTCTGAAAATAAGGAATATAAAATTGCAAATTACTTTAACATAAAATTTTTTACTCGGGAGTTTTTGAGTTCGTTGAATCTAATGTTAGATTTTTGAAATTCAAAATGGTGGATCCAATATGGCGAACACTTTTTTTAAAAATTGAACGGATTCGCTTGACATTCATTACTTGGGGGTTTTTAGGGTCGCTGATTACAAATTTGAAGTTAGATTTTTGAATTTCGAAAATTCGACATCATATTCGTAATCAGCGGCCTCAAAAACCCCTGAGTAACGAGTTTTAGTTGAAATTTTATTTTTCCTTTTTTTAGGGATTTTAATCATAAGTAACGTTAAATACGAAGCTGAATTACGCAACGTTTATATAAACGATTTTTGAAGAAATAATTTTTTAAAATGAAAAATTCTATAATTTTTTGCCTAAAAAATATTTTTCTATAATTTGTTGATTAATGAAAACTACAAGAAATATTTTTTAGGCAAAAAATTATAGAATTTTTCATTTTAAAAAGTTATTTCTTTAAAAATCGTTTATATAAACATTGCGTACTTCAGCTTCGTCGTAAAATTCAAATGGCTGTATCTCAGTAAAAAAAAAATCTGATCGGATCGAGTCAAGATAATACTTTCTTTTAAAATTTGTAACAATGATTGAAAAATTTTTTTGGAGATTTTATAAAGTGACGAATGTTGCCAAAATTGACATATTTTTTACGCTTTTTAAGATGAGAATATTTCAAAATAACTATTCCATTTTCTGGGTCTGACAAAATACAAAATTTTGTAGGCCCGTGTAATTAATATTCACAATAATATTTATAAGTTGATAAGAAAAAATTTCTTATATGAAATATATTAATCTATAAAAATTTTTGCCATGTAGATGTGTTAGAATATTAACGATTGGTTTGCGAAATAGTGCGAGGGGGCATAAAACGTATATATATATAAGGGATACTTTCCCTGAAGCAATCAAAATTTTCTTGATTTCATTCGACATTAAAATTAATGAGCAATGTTGTATAAGTGTCACGTTTCCTGTCCCTAAAGTATTTGTGAAATGCTGAGGTGATTCTCAAGTTTCCCTTGTTTCCTCTAATACGTTGGCAGCAAACGCAAATAGTGTTTCCTATAGTATCTTTATATTTCTCTCTAGAGAAAACTAAATACTCTTAGCTGAAATATGATCTTAATCTTGGGAAAATTTAAAATTAGTCATTCTTCTGTGAAAATGTTCCATTCGATTAAATAAATATGTGAATTTTGCAAAATATTATACAAAATAGAAAAGAACTTAACAGAAAATGTCAATAGTAATAATAATAATAATTTTTAATTAATTTAGGGTCAGTTGGGGTAAATGGTGACAAGAGGTGTTGGAGCTTAATTTACAGTTTTAAAATTAAGTTGCAATATTTTATAACCTCAGATCACCTACAAGAGGTTCTGAGTATTGCCAAACTTTTATCTTGACAATTGGCAGAAACTATACTGTCCCCTTTTACCCCAAATTTAAGGAAATTTTCTAAATCTTGGGGTAATTGAGGACAATCAGTTTAAAAGTATAATAATAATAATTATATATATTATATATATATATATATATATATATTTATTATATATAATATATAATATTATTATTGTTTTATTATATATATATATATATATATATATATATATATATCTATAAATTCTTATACTTTAAGTATTACAGATAGAAGACATTTACACTCAGATAAAAGTTTGAATAATTTTTGTAAATTTAGTAACAGTAGTAAAAGAAAATTAAAGTCAGACAAAATTTTATCGAGTGCTTATAAATTTTGTACAATAGAACGCTGTAAGTGGCGAATTTTCTAAATCTTAAATAGAAAATATAATTCATGTACATGTTTATATTTTATATTTAATTTACTATCTACTTATTAGAATATGAAATTTACTTGATTATAATTTGAACTTTCAAATTCTTTTTAGAATATACATTTAGATATAAAAACATTATTTTTTTCATGTAAAACTATTTTTTAAATTATCCTTTTTTTTATCGTATTTTAACAGTTAATTCCTTTCAGCAGAAGAACTTATAAAGATAATATTGTCAGATAAAAAAAAGATAATATATATATATATAATAGTTCTTCTGAGAATGGAGAACATGCTTTTTTCTATTCTCTATATTTAAAAAATTCTTTCAACAGGTGCAGATTGTCCACGACTGCCAGATCAAGAGGGAATTAGCATACCTCTCATAATGCCTGGACAGGAGTTACCTCAATTATTTCTAGACTTAAGAGTTTCCGGTGCCCTATCGTGGAACAAAATTAACATTATTTATGACACTTCTTTTCGTACGTATATAAGATTTTTTTTATCCTTTTAGATTATCATTGCAAAAATATCATTTATAACACAATTTAAATTTAATTGCAATTAAAAAATTAATTAATTAATATAAACTATATTATTTATTTTATATAAAAAAAAATTTTTATTTCAATTATTTATAATTTCATATTCATTCATATTTATTTTGTCTTTAAGAAAGAGACACTATCAGTAAAGTACTAAAATCTTTGTCAATACAATTGCCAAACAAAAAATTGAAACAAGCATCAAGATCTCTATTTTCAATAAAATATGATAAAGATGATCATATAATGAGAAATCAAATTAGAAAAACATTCAGCAATTATCGATTTGAAAAATTGGGAAATTGTTTTATGGTTATTGTCAAAGTTGACATGGTGATACCCATAATTGAAATGGTGAGAAAGTTATATGTATATAAGGCGATTCCATGTGAAATTTATAGTTCACACAATTTAAATTCGATCAATTAAAAATTTAAATTGTTTATAAAAAATTGTAATTGTTTAAAATATAAATTACTAAAATTGACTAAATTCATAAATTTCACGTGTAATCAATTATAAATAGAATTTATTAAAATAATAAATAAGTTTAGAATAATAATAATAATAATAATAATAAAGAGTGACGTCAAATTTAGCCGATTTTTGGGCCCTTGAATTTCGCATTTAAACATAGTTAAAATATAACAATTAAAATTCGCTCATATTCAATTAAAACTTATTACTCGAGGGGTTTTTTTAGTCGCTTATTATGAATCTGGTATCAATTTAAAAAAATTCAAAATGGAGGATCTAATATAGCAACTAAAAAAATGAAAAATTAAACAGATTCTTCTAAAAAATGATACATGGAAGTTTTCGAAGTCGCTAATACCGAAATGTAATATGTAAAGTCGGTAAAATTCACATCGATTACGATCATCCAAACATTAAAAACACAGATAATGCATAAACACAATAAAATATTACAAAAAAATCCAAAAACACATTAAACTTAACAAAAAAAATTAAGTTTAACCCCAAATTCATTAGAAAAACACCACTATAGTATAATCACACTTATTGACGTTTATCAAAAAAATTAAAATTTCATTGCACAAACCATTTTATTACAAGTTCTAGGGCAAAATACACCTAAAAGTGTATAAAAAAAATGATAATAATTTTCTTTTTTTGATTCATAATTTTTTGAGTTTTACGCGTTAATGGGTTATAGCAACCCTTGTCATAAAAAAATTCCGAAAAAAATTCATTTTTTCTAAGACAGACTATTTTATTGCAAATTCTAGCACAAAATACACATAAAAGTGTAGAAAAAAATTGACATAGCCCGATACAAGTAGAGGAAGACACCTAATAATAAGTAGTAGAGCTATGAGAGTTCTGGGACAGGTTCATATCTCGGCTAAGTTACCTACAGTCGGTAATGCAGATTTGCCAACTGTCGGTAAGGTAGAAACCTGTTACAAATTTTGGATCAACCGATAAGGTAGGGATCTGTTTTACCGATCTTCAATTGTTATTAACAAATTTAATTGTTATTAAAAAATATAAAATATAACAATTTAATTATTTATTTTTACTATTTATTAAGGTAATTTTATGCATATCTTATTGAAATATATTGTTACATCCCGTAACAAAAATCTTTTCTTAAAAGTATAAAGAACACGTATATACATAAACTAATCTAAATTATCAAGTATTAGTAGAAGGAGGGTGTATATAAGAAAATTCATTGTTGTCACCCATTTCTTCTGTTAATATTTGCAAGCAATCATGTTTGCTACGAGTTGTTTTGGAAGCATTTTGGTTTAATATAATGAATTCTTTGTTCAATTCTTTTCTCACGATGAGTCTTATGCAGTTGCATAGGCTAATATCTACCGATGTGTTTACATCATATCAAGTCGCATGTACATTTAATAATACTCTTAGTAGTAAGAGACTTAAATGTTTAGTCTTCTTACAGCTATACTATGCCACTTGATATGATTTTCACACCATTACTATTAGAAAAATGTAGCATCCGCAACTGAAGTCTATATATGACTCATATACTGCATAGCGAGGCGCAAGCACATAAGCTTATGCTACGTGACCACAGGGTAGCTTTCGCCTCGCGTTGCAATACAATACCCCTATAGAAAAGACTGTAGATGCATATGCCGACCAGCGACCTATATCTATAAGATCCAAGAAATTGTCTTCGTGATTCTAAAATTATAATTCGATCAGGACGTGATCTCTGCTCATTTTCTCCCACTGAAGGATGATTTTGCTAGTATAAAAACCCTGCAATTAGCATGGGGCGTCGTCAGTTCTCTGGTTCTAAGATCGCACTTCACGTCAAGTAATACGTCAGTATTTTGCTCTTTTTCGATAATTGTAAAATCTTTCAAGTCCAACAGTACAAGTAAACTCGTGTTCAATAGAATAAGTTCTCTTGATCGCCCGGCTTGCGAGTATATTCTTAAAAAATAGCATAATCACCTAAAAAACGTATGAACGTGTATTGAAGAGATTATTGTTCTGTCGAGAGACCCTTCGGTTAATCATTTTATCAAATCTTACAAAATTCTAAAATTAAGTAAACTCGTGTTCAATAGAATAAGTTCTCTTATAAACTGAATTGTGAGACATTATTAAAATTCGTATGTAACCGTCGTATTAGTGTAACTTTTGGAATATATCTAAAATACCAAGTGAAATATCAGAAGTTACGAACTAAAGACAGTGTGTGTAAAACAACGATTCTGTGTGAAGTTGAAATAACACCGCTGCGTTAAATTCTCAAGTGTGAACCACTTGAATCATCTTGTTTTTCGGCCCTCATAAGAGGTAGTTGTAAGTACCAATTTTCTATTTGTAAAACTACCACATTTTAATAACTTTTGATACTTGTATTCACATAATAAATTGTACTCTTTTATATCATTTGCTTTTCAAATAATTTATTGAAATAAATCAAAAGATTACTATTATTTCGTTTTATTTCATTTCATTCAAAATTTAATCATAAAACTCATAAATCTTATAAATAATGGATAAAGTTTGACCAATTGTTAAATAAATTAATAAAGACGACCCCCATAGGATCGATAGATAACAACGATCTCACATAAAAATAAATAGTCAGAACTTACCAATCTGACTGCAATCAGCCTACCTTGCCTCCCTTATAATTTATAATTATATTCAAAATATACATATTAATTAACCTCGCCTTTCGCTCGGGATGTAACAATATTTATTAAAAATTTGTCACAATTGTTTTATTAACAAAGGTAAGTTATAATAATTTGTTTTTGCTATTTATTAAGGTAATTTTACGTATATTTTTTTCAATTTAATTTTGCAATATAATTATTAACAATTTGTCATAATTGTTATTAACGAAGATAAGATATAATAATAATTAATCAATATTATATTTGAAAATAAAAATGAGCAAAAAGTTTCGAACAAAAAATGTATGGCTCACTTTTTGATTGGTCCAGCGGATGCTGAGCTACAATCAAAAAATTGGGGAAAAATTTTTCAAAAAATTAAATTCACGAGATTATGTCTCGGGAAAACCGCCAATAAAATAGGGAAAAAGTTTCGAACAAAAAATGTATGGCGCACTTTTAGATTGGTCTAGCGGATGCTGAGCTATACTAAAAAATATATTCGGAAAATTTTCGAAAAATTAAATTTTCGTTATAATCGCTCGGGAATACCGCCAATAAAATAGGGAAAAAGTTTCGAACAAAAAATGTATGGTGCACTTTTAGATTGGTCCAGCGGATGCTGAGCTACACTTAAAAAATTGGGAGAAAAATTTTCAAAAAATTAAATTCGCGAGATAATGTCTCGGGAATAATGCCAAAAAATTGAGCAAAAAGTCTCGAACAAAAAATGTATGGCGCACTTTTTGATTGGTCCAGCGGATGCTGAGCTACAATCAAAAAATTGGGGGAAAAATTTTCGAAAATTAAATTCGCGAGATAATGTCTCGGGAATAATGCCAATAAAATAGGGAAAAAGTTTCGAACAAAAAATGTATGGCGCACTTTTAGATTGGTCCAGCGGATGCTGAGCAATACAAAAAAATAAATTCGGAAAATTTTCGAAAAATTTAATTTGCGTTATAATCGCTCGGGAATACCACCAAAAAAATAGTCAAAATGTTCTGAACAAAAAATGTATGGCGCATTTTTTGATTAGTCCAGCGGATGCTGAGCTACACTAAAAAATAATTTGGAAAAATTTAAAAAAAATTAAATTCGCTAGATAATTGTTCGGGAATGCCGCCATAGTGATTAGAAGAAAGTTCTGAACAAAAAATATATGGCGTACTTTTTAATTGGTCCAGCGGATGCTGAGCTATACTAAAAAATAAATTCGGAAAATTTTCGAAAAATTAATTTTGCGTTATAATCGCTCGGGAATACCGCCAATAAAATAAGGAAAAAGTTTCAAACAAAAAATGTATGGTGCACTTTTAGATTGGTCCAGCGGATGCTGAGCTACGCTTAAAAAAATCGGAAGAGAAATTTTCGAAAAATAAAATTTGCGAGATAATGACTCGGGAATAATGCCAAAAAATTGAGCAAAAAGTCTCGAACAAAAAATGTATGGCGCAGTTTTTGATTGGTCCAGCGGATGCTGAGCTATACTAAAAAATAAATTCGGAAAATTTTCGAAAAATTAAATTTGCGTTATAATCGCTCGGGAAAACCACCAAAACAAGTTGTTAATTCAGATGTTCATTACATAAACATTTTGCTTCCTCTTTACGATCAGCAAAAAAATTTGCTTCCTCGTGGAGAAAGCAAAATTTTATTGACAAAATGTGAATTTTTGATTTTTTAACTTTCATTAATTCTTTAAATTTACCTCAAATGAATACTTTATATATATCGTTCGATTCGTCTTGACGTAAAGAATACGATTGACATTCAGATCCGATTAGAGGAAGACCTTTTTTATGACCAAAAACGCACCCAAAAGCATAAAAAACTTACCAAAAAAATTCAATTTTTCTTAGGCAGACGATTTTATTCCATATTCTTGCACAAAATACACCGAAAAGTGTAGAAAAAAATTGACTCCCAGATCCGAGTAGAGGAAGACCTTTTTTATGACCAAAAACGCACCCAAAAGCATAAAAAACTTACCAAAAAAATTCAATTTTTCTTAGGCAGACGATTTTATTCTATATTCTTGCACAAAATACACCGAAAAGTGTAGAAAAAAATTGACTCCCAGATCCGAGTAGAGGAAGACCTTTTTTATGACCAAAAACGCATTCAAAAGCATAAAAAACTTACCAAAAAAATTCAATTTTTCTTAGGCAGACGATTTTATTCCATATTCTTGCACAAAATACACCGAAAAGTGTAGAAAAA